TCTGTTTACCCCTTCTTTCAGGTAATTTAATAAAAGCTCAGGGCTCAACCCTGAACACCTCACAGATGATCTACACACATCCTAATAGATTGGCTCACGTGGTAAAAGGATATTTGGTTTTACATAGGTTTGCGTTATGTTGTGTCACATATGTGACTTCTTAGAATATTTATCCTTACACACCCAAAACACTGGTTGTAAATTTCAACCCTATCTTTTCATTTCTTACTCAGTTTTTCCAGTGATCTGTTCTAGCATCTCTTTCTTTTTCCCAGTATTTTTTAGAATACCATCATATCAGTCGTCAAGAAATCCTTATTTATAGTAAATTTAGAATTCAGTTCCTCATTTCCTTAAAATTTACATGAGGAAGGTTATGAAAGCAAGTGAGGTTGATAAGTCCTCTTTCTCAATATACTCACACACCGATTTATTAAATTCAGGGATAGCAAACCACTGTCAATTATTCGAAAACCAGCTGTTTTGTGCAGAGTAACAGTGCTGTGGTCTGTGGGTCAGTGGAAGCGTAGCAAGATGGTGAACACGACCGGCTCTGGAGCCACACTGCCTAGGTTTTCATCCTTTGCTGCGTCTATTAACTGTGTGACCTTGGGCAAGTTACTTGACTTCTCTGGGCCTCAACGTCTTAGATGTAAAACAGAGATGGTATCTCTAAAGTTGCAAGGATTACTTGAATGAATATAAAGTATTTAGTGCAGTGTCTGGAATCTGGAAATCCCTGTATAATGTTAGCTGTTGGTTTTGGTTGTTGTCGTTTTTACTTAGGGAAAAAATCACTTTCCTTGTCACAAAGAGTTGTAAAAATGCTTTCTTAACAAATATTATTTTAGTTCATCTTGACAGATTCAAGTGGTTCATTCAGTATGATATGTTTTTAGTTCATTCTGTATATTATTTATAGATTGTTAAAATTTGTGATTAATTTGTAGTCAGATTCTGGGAGTTTCTCTGTGCCTCTCCTATGTTTTAGTAGATGACATTGAAAAACAATCTAAATAAAGATGTCTTCAGTATTTTTCTTAGCTTTCAAGAGTCAAATGACTCAGTGTTTTCCTTAGACTAGAATATTTTAAAACTCTTATTTAATTTTAAGGAAGTTATTTTATTTATGTGTAAATATAGGGAAAGGCAGACATAACAACTGGTGAGTAAATACCTCCAGGTGTATTAAGCCGCCTTTACCCCCCTCGAAAATGTGCATACTGCCATCTGCTGGAGAAAGTTTTGCACATTGAGGTAGTATTTTTGAAAAAATTTAAGCATCAAAATTATTTTCCCCATAGTTTTTCTTATAGATATCATTTAAATAACGTCTTTCATTCGATTGAGATTTCAAGTGGGAGAGTCTTCAAGTCCCTTTTAGGTGAAAACTAAGAAGGAGGCAGTTGTATTTCTTGTTCTAGTCACGTAGATTATGAAAATACATCCAGAAGGCTTTCAAATCTTTTCCAGGGATAGATGGAAGGTTGCTTAAGTTCTTTGTGTTTTTCTGAGGGCAGTTGTAGGGCATTTTGCTAGATCGGGACAACAACCCTTTGAAGCAGACAAAGCAAGTCCAGCCATAATTGGCCAATGAGAAAACAGAGGGCCCAGGGAGGTTAAGTGATCAGCCCAAGGTCACTCCGTCTTTCTGGCATGGCTGGATCAGAATCCAGGTCTTTGAATATCTTATCCTATGGTGCTGATTATTTCTTCAACTTATCATATCCTGTAGGCCTCTGAGTAGAAAAACATTGCCTCCTATTATTAATAAGGCTAGCGAAATGGAAAACAGCCAAATTCCTAAGTACATTTTACAGTGAATAATGTATTTTTTAAACTTTGAAAAGCAAAATAGTAAGTGATATCCAACACTTTGCATTGACACCTAATGTGCGTTGGTTTGCCATATTGAAGGAATACTTTCTGTTCTGTATACATACTATTGCTTTATTTTTAGTGATTTCTACCCATGATAATTTATGCCCGTCCTATGACAGTTTCACAAATGTGTGCTGACCTAGGAGGTTCCCTGCTTGATCTTTGATTTGGTTTCTGTTGGCATATCCTGCTATCTTAGCCTGGCATCATAGTGGCTTTGGTTAAATAGTACTTTTCATCTGGTAAGTGGTATCTTTGACTTTTAAAAAAGTAGCCTTCTACTCCATCATTTTATAATGTAATATTACCATGGGGAACATAAATTTTGTCCTTTAGACTTCCTTGATATTGTAGTGATTTTTTAAAATTTCCCGAGTACAGATGAATTTACTGATTTAGGGTGATTATAGGTTATACTAACTCAACTATCATAAGCTGTTGGTCAGTGTTGCCACCTTTCCTCCATGTGCGAGTCTAAGATTTTCTGATATAAGTGTCTCCTGCCTTTTCAAGTATAGTGGTCACTGCTGATCTGTCTTCCCTCCTTCTGTCATCTCTGCTCTAGAAATTTTTTTTTTTAACCTAAGTACTTTAATTTAAAATGAAATCATTCCCCTATTTTGTGTATTTACTGGCATTACTTTCAGTCTTTTTTCTTTTTTTAGCATCGAATGCATTTACATTTCGCTTACATAAAGCTGAGTATGCGGGAGTGCAGCCATGTTGCTAATTCAGAACAGCTGACTTACAAGAAGTCTCTTGGAATGTCCCTGAGTCTCTGGATGAATGTGTTAGTAACATGCCTGGCTTCAGACTTTTTGCTTGCATTGGATTTATAATGTTAGGAATTTCTTATCAGATAATTAAACCAGAAGAGGAAGGAGATTCAGTCTTCAATTAGGCAGGTGTGGAGTAAGATAAGAGAATGTGACCGTGACCGAAAAGGTCATAAGAAATCACAGCTTTTTTGTCCAGCTTTCAGTCTTTTCTTATATTGACCTAGAATTTACCCTTCTCAGTTGGAACCCATGGTTTTGTTTATTTCCTATAGATATATGGAATAAATTGAAGCTAGTAAGTCTTTTCCATATGGCAGCTAGTAAGTCTTCTTTCTTGGTTTTTCTTTTCTGTTTGCTCTATTCTACTATTCTGTAATGTCCCACTCCTCTTCTCACTCACAAATTTTTGGGGCACGCGGTTTGTATGAGTTCAATCTTTTAATTCTCATACCAGCCTAGTCTGGTAGTATTCCTGTGTCCCTCCGACTGAGGCGAAGAACGATGGAGACCATACAACAATGAGGGTTTGAACCAAGAGGTCAACTGAGAAAATTGGTGTCAGGCTTTATAGGCCACGGTATCTCCCCTTCTTGATGTGACACATTTTTGAGGTTTCTTGCTTTTTGCTCTTCTCTGGGTATATACGTATTTGTCAACTTCTCTTTTATAACACATTGTAGATAAAATGTATTCAATACTTCAGGGATACCCTGGCCTCCCAAAGCAATGGCTTCCTCCTGGGCTGCCTGTCTGCACATTACAGAGGTTTTTTGTTTTGTTTTGTTTTGTTTTGTTTTTTTAACTTGGCTTCTCTCAAACAAGTATGAAATTGGGTCTTGCCATCCTCTGTGTGTACGTGCGTTCGTAAACTCTATGTGTGTGTGTGTAAATGCATTTTTCCACTTAAGAGGATTCTATGTTTTCTCTTGTCAAACCATACTTTGTCTTCTTTGGTATCTACTCATGTCTGCCCCCCTTTTTTATTTAACCTCCGTCTTTGCAGTCCTCTCTTTTATTCCATACAAATTTAGTAAGTATGCCTTTAGTCTAGATTTCAGGCCGTGATTTTTTAAGGTGTTCTCTGCGGTCCCATGAGATTCTGCAAATAGTTCAGTTGGGATTTCTTGCTCCCATTTCTCGGTCAGTGTGGTACTTCGTAATTTTATGATTCGTGAATTTTGTGGGAGCTTTTTAGGACATTCTATCATTCTTAAGTTAGGTTTCTTTTTAAAGTCTCTTTATGAGATTATGGTTCTCTTTTCTCTGTAGGGTTTCTGTTTGCTGTGCCTACAGTCTTCTGGATCTCGAGTCGAACTGCAGTTAGTTTTCCATCTGTATTTTAGTTATTGTGACAAATGTTCAGTCCCTGTTCCTGAGAATAGCTAAGAATTTTTGTGATCTAGTCAGATAACGCCATCTTTCCCATTCCTGCCAGCATTTGCCACCTTAATAAGCAACCTTCACACGCACTGATTTTACACCAGCTTAATCAGAAGATAGGATGACGGGCCACTTCAGATTCCTATCTGCCCACCACTGACCGTGCACTCATCTGTATAAATCTGTGCGGACTATGACCTCTGAGGTTGCTTCAATTCTAATATCTATGATTTTAAAGTATACCAAATGACTTTTTGAAATTTCAGCCCGACTTCAAAAAATTAAATAATAAGGAGTGACTGAATTTAGCTTTTCTGAACTATACCCAAGCGCGATATTCATTTAATGTGCACTCGTACGGTCCCCTTAGTAATTCAGGTATGGAAGGACTTCTAACACTATAGGACTTCTAACTAATCATCGACCGAGCTGCCCCACTGCTAGAGCACTGGGGGGGCTACCCGCTCACTGGTCTGCAGATAAACCACGACAGCTGCTGCACACCAAATCCATTTCCACGGGCGCTCCCAACTGGACGTAGGGTGGCTTGTGATGACATGAGCACCTGACAAATGCCTCTTTCTGTTTTCCTCTACATGACCATGGCTATGCTCAGCTAGTAGTCTCTTATCTGAGTCACCCACTTGTGGTTGCTTTTCATGAATACTATATGTGGATTATAGCACATTGGACTCTTTCTAACACAGCAATAGGTTAATGAAGTCCTTTTAAGGTATCTTCTCCATTGTTCAAGGTACGGTGGGGTTTACAGAATCAGTAATTCACATACCTGAGAATTGTTTCAGAGCTAAAGGTAAGAGAGTTCAGCTTAAACCAAATTTTAAAAAAAAGTGACTTGACTCTAGCACTTGTCATCACATGGCTGAGCCCTAAAATGTTGTACATCTCATGAAATCATTGTGTCACCCTTCTTTTAGCAACGATCTGCTTTGTTTCCAGGTGAATGAAATTTACCACGATGAGTCCCTCGGAGTGCATATAAATGTGGTCCTGGTGCGCATGATAATGCTGGGGTATGCAAAGGTAAAATGCCTTTAAATATGTGAACTATGAACGTGAAGGACTGAGCTAGCAAACGGAAGACTGCATTTCTATAGCTGTAGCTAACACGTCGCACTGGTGTCTCACATACACATAGCGGGTTAGAAGTGAGGAGGAGAAAATGCCAAAATAAGCATACATCTCCCAGTCTGAGTGGATAATGATTTTTGTGCCAATACCGTTTGCTTATCTATCTAATGGAGTCACAGGTAGTGATCCTGGCTCTAGGCATGACCGTATGAATGAAAACAAACGGATATAATTGTGAGGAAAGAGAACTTCCTCAGTCTACCATTATCATCAAACTCGTGAACCATTTATTCCTTTAAAACATCTCTGCTGCATGCCTACTATGTGTCAGATGCTTTCTAGGTGCTTTGAATATATCGGTGAAGAAGAGTAGCAAAGATCCTTGCCCCCTCTTGGTTTGTGAAAAACAATATTTTACATATATATCATTCCACTTAAGAAAAGCGAAGTATACAGTGGATATTCACTTAGAAGAGCTCTATTCCTTCTGAAAACAAAAAGTTAGGTCAAAATGCACAGGTAGGAATTTCATGTAATGTAACTAACTTCAGCTGGCTTTAAAATGGCAGTTGATGTGTCCTTGTCCTTGGAAATAATTAAATGGATGACCTTGGTTTCTTCCTTTGAGAAAGTGCCTAACTTGGCAATTTTCTTGATATTTAAAATTACATGTCCCCCTCCCATAATTAATCCTCCTGATTATGAAATACTAAGGAAATTATGCCTTTAGCAAACAGGAAAAAAATCCATGTGTTTGCATTTCATTATGTATGTAACACCCACTTATCATTTTCTGATGAGAGCGTGTCATTGATCTTTACTTTATTCCCCAAGCCTGACCTACTTTGTCACTAACACTAAATGCAAGTCGACTCCAGCTGGAGATGTTAACAGCCCTCAGTGGGTTGTTAGATGATTTGTTTGGAGAAGTATGTGATCAGCATATAATAAACCAAGCTCATTTTATTCAGAATGTAAACACCGATAATGACATTTGCTGAAATGTAACAAAACTCTCAGCCTGTCAGCCAACTAGGTACTAATGTGGGGCTCCAAATTCAATTTCTTATTCAATCAGAACTACTCTGGAAAGTATGGATACTGAGTTTTTGAAGGATGGGCACCTTTCCCTCTAAACTTTTAACTCCTGATCATAATGTGGTAGTAGCAACATTCCAGGCAATGTCAGTCTGTCTCTTGCAAATGCCAGATAAGAGTACATCTCTCTTCATTGCTCTGAGGTTAAGAAAAGGGTAGTTGCTTTTTTCAGTGCAAGGTTTATGTAATTGGGCCATTTCCTGAAATGAAGATTTGACCAGCTTTGCCAGCTCATTGAAGAACTTATATACTTCACCTTTGTTGCTCAATTCTGGGCAAATAAAAATAAAAATTTTAACTGAAGACCTTTAACAGCTCTGGATAAAAGTGTCACAGCAGAATCTTTTCCTCTCTCTCTTTTTTTTTTCCCATTCTTAATGTCTATAAAACTAAGAAATCTGAGCTGGATTAGGAAATGGACTACTAGAATCTTACCCCAATGATTAACATTGAGTTGCCCAACGATAGCAAATGTCAGCGTCACGTGTCCCCATAAATATGTGGTCACCTGTCACACAGGTACCACTGGTTGTCATTCAGATTTCCTTCCTGGGCGTTTAGAATCCCCAAACAAGAATAGGTATAGGCGTAAGCCCTAAATGATATTGTCAAACCTCATTGAAATATTGCACTTCTTCAACACACCGTTTCCTCTTAGTCCATCAGCCTCATAGAAAGGGGAAACCCATCCAGAAGCTTGGAGAACGTGTGTCGCTGGGCTTGCCAACAACAGAAGTCTGATCCGAACCACTCTGAACACCATGATCATGCAATTTTCTTAACCAGGCAAGACTTTGGACCTGCTGGAATGCAAGGTATTTCTATTAACGTGCAGAAGAAAAACTCAAGGGCCTGAGTTTCCAAAAATAATCCTAAATCAAGGAATCTGTTCAAATGTTCAGCTCCCTACCATCCTTTTCCATCATGCATCAGCCAGGCACACACTTTCTTTCTATTGCTTCCAGTGACTTCTGTGGAATTCACAATGTTAAATGCCACTTAAATGGTATAATAAATTATACTTGCCTTTAAAATAAATAATGACTGTGCATTTGGGGTGTGGAGGGGATCCTGTAAAATGGGATATGATTTCCACTAACCCCTTGGAAAGGGAACGGAGATGCCATGAGAAATGATTGCCGTCAAAGAGCTTTCTTCCAAAGTCAGCTTGCATTTATCTAATAAATTCTGATGTAGACTTTGGAAAAAAGTAGACTGATGAGTTTCTTTTCAACATTGATGGAATTTCTGGCTCCCTTTATCAGTACCATCATAGGAAGGACCATTCACTAAAAACAGAAAGACGGGTCTTTGTTGGTGGGCAGAACAGAATGGTAACCCCAGGCAGTTCCTTCCCTTAGGGAAGGAGAAAACGCAGACCCAGTGAATCTTATTAGAGACCATTACCTGTGTGTGTGGCTTTCCCAAGAGAATGTGGCACAATGCTAGCAGCGAAATAATACTGCCTCTGTTTCCTGAAAAGCTTTTTTTTCCCCCCTAGGCAAAGGTCCAGTAGTAGCTCTTAATGGGCTTTCTCATAAAATGAAAATAAAAGTAATTGTTATTCTCTACAGGATATGCTCCAGTCACAGGCATGTGTCATCCAGTGAGAAGTTGTACCCTGAATCATGAGGATGGTTTTTCATCTGCTTTTGTAGTAGCCCATGAGACTGGCCATGTGTAAGTCACTGTTGACAGCTATAAAGCGAAAAAAAAGGTCTTTTCTTTCCCACTTCTCTCAGTATTGTTCACACTTTGGGCAGAGTACATGCCAGCATGCAACTCTCGTTCCTTGCCAAGTGTGAGGAGCTGAAAACAGAGAAGAGGTCATGTGCTGAAACTAAATAAGTGACTCTGGCTGGCGGAGACCCCCCCCCCCCCGCGCTTTTCATAGCGATGGGACAAGGAGGACATTTCTGTCAGTTTGTTCTCTATTTCACAGTCTCTGGGACTCCTCCGCAAAAGCCACATTAATTTACAAAACGCACAGTCCCCCGAACTGATTTCCAAGAGTGACATCCAGCACAATCCATGGCCCCTCTGTTTCTCACCCGTGAGGTCTCACTTCCGTTGCAGGCTGGGAATGGAGCACGACGGACAAGGCAACAGGTGCGGCGATGAGACGGCTATGGGGAGTGTCATGGCTCCCTTGGTGCAGGCAGCGTTTCATCGTTACCACTGGTCCCGGTGCAGCGGCCAAGAGCTGAAGAGATACATCCAGTAGGTCCCCTTCTGCGTGTCCCCAGAGTATTTATGTCATAGCCTAACACAGACATGAGACTGACTTTTAGGATTGACCTTAACCAAACTCCCAGTGAATGAGAATTGTCACTCATGATAAACATTTTCTTATGACTCGGAGCTTTTTGGCACAACAATCCCATAATGCAATCACAGTATTTTAAGCCATAAGCCTAGAGTTTAAGAGGATTTTTAACTCTGGTCTCCTTTTAGTAAGTTCCTTATGGAATCTCTGGTGGTCAAACTTGAGTTGGGGACTAGGAGAGAGAGGACGGTCATGTGACACCCGCAGAGAGTGCCACATATGCCCTGTAGGATGGGGGCTGGGGTCTGTGTCATCCTACCACGTGGGGGTCCTGTGGCGGCCATGAATAAGGCTGTCACAATTCTACTGTAGTCCTGAGTCATGTTTGGCTTCTTTTTTGGGATGAATAAGGATGATGGGTCTTTTTCTGAATGGAAGTGAAACCAGAAACCTTAAAAGGTAGGACTCTGTGATCTTGCTGTATGACTGGATGAAACTCCAGAGTCTGTAACCTAAGAACAGTTTTTCATTAGGATGTGATGAAAAAACAAAAAAAAATGAACATTTAATGACATGAAATATTTTCCTTTTTACAGTTCCTACGACTGTCTCCTTGATGACCCTTTCGAACATGATTGGCCCAAACTCCCAGAACTTCCTGGAATCAATTACTCTATGGATGAGCAATGTCGTTTTGACTTTGGGGTTGGTTATAAAATGTGCACTGCGGTACGTCACTCACAGTCAATTGAGATTTTGCATCTTGAAATCTATTTGCTTCGCTCCTGTTTGGTGAGCCTCGTAGGCTCACTGGTTCAAGCGGAAGACTATCTACCCATGATTTTGTGTTTGACATGTCACTGTGTGCTGAGGCTAAGAGCTTCAAATATATTACCCTGTTTAATCCTTGTGGCCAACTAGATGGGAATTGGTATATTTTAATTTTATAGACGAAAAAACCAAGACTTACAGAGATTAAGCAACTTGCTCAAATCACGCATCTGGTAAATAGGGGAGCTCGACATTGAGACTGAGATGGTCAGGCTCGCAGGCTTTATGCTCTGTCACTCCCTTAGTTTTTGTGACCTTCAGAGATGACTTCTAAGCCTTCAGTTGATTGTTTTTCATTAGTTTGTTGTCTGGATTTCATGTATCTGTGACCATAGGGAAGGGTCGCCCTGGTATATTCTCACGTGAGAATCCTATGGTATTGCAGGAAGGTCAGGGATATGGGTTTTCTACTGCGGCTCGGTGGGCGATCAGAATGTGGGTCTCATACTTACTAAGTACATGACTTTAAGCGCTTTATTCAATCTATCTTAGTTCCTTGGGTGTAAAAATGTGGGTAATGATAGCATTTATCTCACAGATTTGGTATTAGGGTTCAACCTGATGCTGTAATTACAGTGCTTAGCCCAATGCAGGCACATGGTAAATGGGGTCCAGGAAAGCCCATCCCCCATGTGGCTGTGCACATTAGAGCTGTGTCACACCAAACTTCTACATCGAGCTTTAGTAGTTCAGAAAAAGAAAAGGAAGAAAGGAGGGGCTTTTTATATGTTGGAGCAAGCCTTATGTGTAAGAGCAGAGAAAGTAACTATCTCAAGGTACTGGGAAGAAGTTGATCTGCTCTTTGGAATCTTCCATGTGGGGCTATCTACAGCCATTTGGTCAGTGTGTAATTTACAGGTTGTCAGCCCCTTATTGCCTGCATCAATGCTTTAAGACCTGAGAATTCTAAAGCTTTGCCCCAACGTCACGGAAAAGTATAATTTCTAGATTAAGTAACAGGAATTAGAAAACAACAGCAAAAGAAAAAACAAAAAACCCCAGGTCCAAAATGAGTACAATTAAAAAAAATAATAATAAAAGTTCTGTCCATGAGGCTATATGTGGGTAATAAGTACAGTGAAAAATCAACATGTGAATAAACTGGTGTTTGATTTTTTTTCAAATCTAGAGAATGGTAAGATATTTTTAGTTACAGAGACATCAGACAAATGAAGACCACACACAAATACGTGTGCTTATGCATCCATGTTGGTATTATAATGTGGTGTTTTAGGAAAACAAAAAGAATTCTCACTTGTAAGAGCGCTGCATTTCTAGTCTTGCTGGTGTTATCTCACTTATAACCATAACTAATGCCTTACTTATAACTCAGATTCTCAGTCATGGATTGTTTTGAGTATTAAATATATGGAAAATATGTTATAAACTACATGAATGCATTGTGAGGTTTTGTTATACCTAGAACACCTTATCTCACGTAGCAAGCCTTATAAATATTTTCTGCTTCTAGTCAGCTCAGTATTTTTTACAATCGGACTAGTTCATAAAGAGAAGCTCTTTTAATAATTTGAGAGCTTCAAAACCATCTTAATAAGTTTTCACATTTAAAATGGTCATGATATTTACAGATTCTTTAAAATTCCCATATTGTCTGTTTGAAAACCACGAAACAGAAATGGTATGCAGAAATATTGAAGACAACCAGAGAATCGCAAATTATTATTTATCATTGATATTTTAGAAAAGAAGAATACAAGTATCCTTTCCTTGGAATTAATTTGGAATTAATACTTGGGCAGGATTTTTTTTTTCTTATCATGCCACAGCTGTTACTATTAATTTAAAATTAAAATACTCAAGGTACATGACATGAAGAAAGTGTCCACAAGGTGCCGTCGGACATATGTTGGTATGACTTGCCATCTCTCTTTCATTGAGATCCTGATTCTCTCTCTTCCAGTTCCGAACATTTGACCCATGTAAACAACTGTGGTGTAGCCATCCCGATAATCCCTACTTCTGTAAGACAAAAAAGGGACCCCCACTTGATGGGACCGAATGTGCTGCTGGAAAAGTGAGTATATTTATTTATACAATGAAGATGTAAGATAGGTTTCCTCATAACCATCTTTAGAAACCTGGAAAATTATGACCCTTGCTGTAATCATTTTTGTACCAACCATGGTGTCTGGGATTTCATTACAGTAATGCACTAGCATTGTTTTCTAGGGCTTCTATGGCAAATTACCACAATCTTGGTTGCTGAAAACAACAGAAAGGATATTTTCTCATAGTTCCAGGAGCCAGAAGTCCAAAATCAGTTTCACTGAGCCAAATTCGATGGGGGGACTGGGCCGTACTCTCTCCAGAGGCTCGAGGGGAGGATCTGTTCTTGCGTCTTCCCGCGTCTGGGGGCTCCCCGCATTCCTTGACTTGTACTGCATCATTCCGGGCTCTGCTTCCATGGCCACATTGTTTCTTTCTCTTCTGTGTGCAAATTTCCCTCTGCCCCCCTCTTAAAAGAACGCATGTGCTATGCTGGCAGTTAGGGCCCGCCTGCAAATTTCCAGGATAACTTCTCCAGCTCAACATCCTTAACCAAATCACATCTGCAAAGAGTGTTTTCCAGATACGGGCGTTTACAGATTTGGGGGATTAGGATGTCTTTGAGACCACCGTTCAGCTACTCCTGATAGAATAGGAAGCAACAGCTCAGGGGAGTATCTGGGCCCCTGCTGATGGGATTTGATTTACTTGCTGGCGTCCCACTCCTTGTGAAAGTTGTCCAGAAATAAAGTATCATATGAATTTATACAAAAGATTTGGCCTTGCTCCTTGGGGAAAGATGCCCAGAGGTTTTAAATCTCGAATTGTGTAATCAAGATTGAATGCTCAGAAACTGGCCAGGGGCCAAGCTACACTACTCATAAGGGGAAAGATCACCAAACCCCAAACAAAGGCATGTTAAGAACTCAAGTTGAAGAACCTTGACTAGTTTGGAAATAAGATATTGTAGAAAGGACCAAAAGCTGGCGAGGAAGATTTACATAGCTTTAAGTTCTTTTAAAGCCATTTAAAGCTCTATTTGAAATGTGTGTGAACTGTATTTGCTCTGATGATGCTAATAATAATAATGATAAATAAATCTGCCATTATTGGTGTTTAAACTTTGTTAGTATTATGCTAAACAGATTACATAAAGTGTGTTGCTTTGGAAAAATTCAGTGTTACAAACTTCTGACTGAATAAAAAAAACAAGAGAGACAAGGAATTGATTCATTTTTGCTTTATGAAATCTGTATCCTGTAAATCAACTCTGAACATCCAACTTCTCTAAATATATTTATGTTATATTTGAATTTACCAAATTTGAGTTTTAAGAAACATTTTTATTGTAGGTAGGACAAAAAAAGCCAGTCGGAATGTTGAGCAGAACTGCTACTTGTTGAGCACCTACCGTATGCTGGGTACCGTAAGCCAGGTGCCCCTGTAGTAGCAGCACTCCAGAGTTCCCACTAACTTGCTGTTCCGTTGGTCTCATCCTCTCCACGATCATTTCTGGGCCCTGATATTCTTCATCTAAAATGTAAAGATAACAAGTGCCCTATCTATCTCTCAGCATCACTGTGAATGAAAATTTTGAAACATATCTAAGTGTTTTGAACACTGTGCATGTTTTAGTTAAGTTAAAAATTCCGGAGGAGCATGTTACACTTCAAAAGACCCTGATGATCTAGCTAATGAGGGATAAAGGGTAGAGTCATGCCTACTATGCAGGTTAGGTCCGCAGATCATTCTTACTGGTTTTGTTTGATTAGTCATTTAAGAACTTGTCTGCATGAGTGAATTTGTTTTTCATTTTATACTTAAAAGTGCAAGTCTAAATTGTCCTATATAGGTTACCTTATTGTTTTAATTGTGCTAGGCTAATTTTAAATGCATTTTTACCTGCGGGGAGAGAAGAAACAAAGGCCTTTAACTGGTGTAGTTGTATAATAATTTGAGCGTTAGCTTATGCCTGATTCTCATACTTGCCTTTTGTCATCTTCCTAAGTGGTGCTATAAGGGTCACTGCATGTGGAAAAATGCTAATCAACAAAAACAAGATGGCAACTGGGGATCTTGGACCAAATTTGGCTCTTGTTCCCGGACGTGCGGAACTGGGGTCCGTTTCAGAACGCGCCAGTGTAATAATCCCGCGTGAGTAAACTCCTGTAATTCAGTTATTTTTGGAGAGACAAGAAAATGCTCCAGTAGTATGTTATCAATATTCTGCTTCATGAAGTACATGTCAAATACCAAACATGAAAACCAGGGGTTTAAGTGTCTATTTTGGGTAAATCTCTATTCATCAATCTCGTAAAGCGTCGTCACTGGCGAAGACGAGGCTCCAGTGAAAATTCGAGATCTGGGAAGCCATTGCCGTGTAGACGTCCTCAGGAGCTAGGCGGGGAAGCCCCAGCCCTGTGCTGGTAAGGCCTGGGCCCCGAGGCTGGAGGGCCACTGCAGAAGCCCGGGTGTGTCCGTCAGCCGGTCAGCCTGGGAACAGCTCCAGCCAGGGGCTCACTCCCTCCAGGGTTAGGAGAGCAACACAGCCGAGCAGGACCACAGAAGGACGGCGAAAGAAGACCGAGGCACTGGGGGAACAGCTCCGCAGTCCCCCACTCAGACTAAATACAACAAGTCCCTCTTGTGTGCTCAGCAAAAGCTCAGGGCCTTCTTTCTGGTCTAGGGTTTACCAAGTAAGAAAAGTGCTTTCTTCAGTCCCTGGCAGCAGGATGGCTCCGAGAAAGTTTCTCATAAAGAATATCAAATGTCCCATAGCTGTTTTCACGGGAAGAGATGCCGGTAGTATTAGTGGAAGTAACAAAAACAATGAAAATTATAATAAGAGTGGCTAAGGTTCGCTATGAGCCATGCTCTGTCGTGAGTATGTTAAATGTGTTAACTTGGGCAATCCTCTCCATTGTTCTCTAAGGAAGGTGGGATTATTTTTCGCATTCTGTGTAGAAGAAAGCTAAGACGTAGAGCTATGATCAAATTTCTTTGGGTTACATGTACCTGTGTTATGCATGGGAGGAGATATAATTTTCCTCAGTCCATATATATGTTTTTTTTAATTTTTTTATATACTTCCACTGTGCATTCAAAATATACTGTTGGAAATGCTGATTTAAGTTGAGTTTTTGGTCCCCATCTCCCCACCCTATCCCAGACACGCACACAGGGAGAGGATGGTGCTTTTGGAAAGGGATGGAAATTAGGAAGTCTGAGTTCATTCCCTTTGTGCCCACAGCTCAGCCGCTCTGGCTTTCTGCCTTAGAGCGCTATGTCTGCAAGCTTCAACTGCTGGCCCAGAGCCAAGGGGCCTTTTTCAATGTTGTCTTTTCTTTTAGGCCCATCAATGGTGGTCAGGATTGTCCTGGTGTTAATTTTGAGTACCAGCTTTGTAATACAGAAGAATGCCCAAAACACTTTGAGGACTTCAGAGCACAGCAGTGCCAGCAGCGTAACTCCCACTTCGAATACCAGAATACCAAACACCACTGGTTACCATACGAGCATCCCGACTGTGAGTAGACGCTCGCTGTCTTTCCCGCTGTGTGGATGGGGGTGTCCGAGTGTAAGCCTTGTCAACGCCGATCCCTTGGACTCTGGGTCCTTACTCGGTAAATTAGAAAACTTGGTGTTTATAGGGGTAAGTCCTGCTGGTTTTCTAAGAGCAAGGCTCCTATAGCCCTACCCCTAGAGAGGTGAAGACTGTGGGCTAGTTCCCGGCCAACAGCATTCCCACTGTCACTATAGAAAAGACCCGTGGAAAGCAGCCCATGGGAGACATGTTGCATTTCCTTGTTTGACTGGCATCTTTCTACTAGGAAACCCTCTAGAATTTTGTGATCTTTCCTTTTCGAATAACTAGAGAAAAAACACTTTTCTTTTACAGTTGAGTCAGAAATGAGAATATCATGACTTGAGAACTAAAGGCACATCATAACCTTTTACTTTTGTACCGTATCCTAGTTACTAAAAAGACACTTGGGGATTCCCTTTTAGTGTTTCACTTTATCCCTCTGAATTTTTGGTTATGTGTGCTCAGATGGGGGCATCTCACCATACTTCAGAATCGTGTGGCTGAAACAGGATGGTTACATGATTACCATATGACACAATACACTGCTGAGTTCAGTTTAAAAGCTGTTTTAAAGAAAAGATGCATCCACATAAGAATTCCAAGTTGTAATGGATCGAAAGGAAATGCATTATTTTTTATTGGTTTCGGGGAAGCAAGTCACGTAAATTATATTACATTTAACTAATGAGATCCTACATGAGGCATAAACCATACTCAGTCATTGGTTCCAACAAAGGAGAAACCCTTTTAATTCTCAAAGTGTCACTGAAATGAAATTGGTTCTAATTAAAATTTATTAAAGAACTGTGGTCAAATCCAGGGTTGACGTCAAACCTGGTGTGCCTGGGACAGTCCCGGTCATTCCTATGCAGTTCTTAAATTCAGCCATTTTTCACTTTCAAAAGTTTCACAGTTTAGATCAGCCGTGTGCCAAATATGTATCCTTTTTTGCTATTCTTTCTTTCATTTATTCATACAGTGTTTTGTTTTCGGGAAACCATGCAGAAACTCTGTATTTTAAAAATAAAATCACTGTAGTGTGCAAATATGCCACTTTCTGTACGTAGTCGATTGAATGCTCCATCTTTTGCAGCCAAGAAAAGATGCCACCTTTACTGCCAATCCAGAGAAACGGGAGATGTGGTGTACATGAAACAGCTGGTGCATGACGGGACACACTGTTCTTACAAAGATCCGTACAGCATATGTGTGCGGGGAGAGTGTGTGGTGAGTCCGCACGCCTTCCCCGGAAGCTTCCAGTGCTCTCGTGCAATTCTGCTTTGACTGTCGCTCATCTGCATGTTTTCGAAAGATGGTAACCCTGTCTTATCTGTAAAATCTGTAGAATCTGTAGAATCTAGGACAAGCTGAGGAGGCCTAAACTAAATGTGGGAGAAATTTCACTTTTCATAACAATGTTTGGCCATTGGCAGAATCGAGATTTCAGTATATCACTTTTTTTCCTCTTCCAGCCAAATGCCTTTTTCTAAGTTACTCCGATCCCTCTGGTTGGGGATACAACGGCTCAGGATGGACAGTGCCTTTTTTGCTTTGAGTATTTTACTAGGGGTCATCTACTTTTACACTACAGAGCTTTTTTCGAAAACGCAATGCTATACGTATTGTATCTTTTATTTAAAAAAATAATAGACATTCTCTCGCGCGCGCCCTCTCGTTCTCTCTCTTACTTTCCAATTGATTCTAAGTTTAAACACTGAATTCCAACTCAGAACAAAAGAGGCAAAGATGCAAAAACTGGGTTTTGCCCCATTGAGACTCTTTTTTAAAAAACTGCGGTTGACTTTCTTGTTCATGTTCCCAAGTTGAACTGATATGAAATCAGCCTTATTAACTGAACATGTTAGTCCTGTCTGTTTCTTCTTCATTTCAACACAACCGAAGTGTTGTAGGAATGAATCTCAAGTATGCAGAGACCTCACATTTGAAGTGAATTTCCCCAGAAAGTAGAATCTGACTTTTGTCCATCTCTCACCCTCCCACAGTATCTGGTACATCCAACATGTGGTCGTCGTTGTCTCTCCCCATTTTCATTCCAAACTTCTGAGTGCGGTGGCTTATCACGTTCCCTGACCCTGCACTGACTTCCGTGAAGGGGCCTGTTCCCAGTCCAGAAAACCTTCAGTGGTTCCCTGTTAAGTGCATGTGAAAACATAAACTCTGCCTGATATTCAGGGCCTTTCGTGGCCCGTGCTTTGCAAATCTTTCACTGTTCTTCCCTTCTCATACAGCACTAACTTTCCATTGGCTTAAACATGGCATCAGTATTGCTCTCTGAACCCACTTTCTGTGAGCATACGATGTCCATGGCTCTGTTTTTATCCCTCTGCATTCTTGAAATGCCTTTCGACAGGGCCCTGTGAAAATCACCAGCACTTGTAAAGTCTTTTTGTTGGTTGGTTGGTTGGTTGGTTGGTTGGTTTTTAGTTTCAGAGATAGAGTTTAGTGATTCATCAGTCTTACACAATACCTAGTGCCCTCATGTGCCCTCCTCAATGCCCATCACCCAGTTACCCCATCCTCCAACCCCCTTCCCTCCAGCAACCCTCAGTTTGTTTCCTATGATTAAGAGTCTCTTATGGTTTGTCTCCCTCTCTGATTTTGTCTTATTTCATTTTTTGTAAAGTTTCGTTTTGCATCCCTAAACAGCTTGTAAAGCTTATGCTAATGCCCATCTCATCATTTTATTAGTCATCTTTCCAAATAAGAGAACAACGAGGGAAAAATACCATCTCACTTTTTGTCTTCTCAGCATCAACAATAATATCTGTGCTTAATAAATGTTTGATGGGTCATGACTGTGTGTTGGGGTAGATATTTCATTAGACTGGGGGTATTTATCAGAGGGTAGATTTTAACCTAGAGTACAAGTCATTTGACTTCATAGTAGTTCTTCAAAAAGATTGAGGCATTAAAAATCAGAGCTAGAGTCAAGGTTTGGTCAGACTGCGTCACTGTAGGCTCACGATAAAACAAATGGTTTGTCCTTGTCTAGATGCTGACCTTCACTCAGCATATTAAAATTAGTCATGTTTAACATCTCTTTCCAGAAAGTGGGCTGTGATAAAGAAATCGGTTCTACTAAGGTTGAGGATAAGTGCGGCGTCTGTGGAGGAGATAATTCTCATTGTCGAACCATAAAGGGAACATTCACCAGAATTCCCAAGAAGCTTGGTAAGATGAGGTCTCTCATGAATTTGGTATCCTTCTCTATGATTTGTACTTTTTGAGACATCTTTTAGGAATGTAGCATTTTCCCGATAAACATGACAAAAAATTAGCTGCTGATTTATTTTTATTCAGATTACCTTTTCTTTTCTTTTCTTTTTTTTTTTTTTAAGATTTTATTTATATATTTGGGAGAGAGAGGGAGAGCAAGCACGAGAGAAACAGAACGAGCATCAGCGGGGGGAGAGGCAGAGAGAGAGGGAGGAGCAGACTCCCCGGTCTTGGGGGAGAACGAAGCATACTCCCTACTCTTTCGGGAGCCTGACGCGGGGCCCCAGCATCATGACCTGAGCTGAAGGCAGACGCTTAACCGACTGAACCATCCAGACACCCCCAAATTACCTTTTAAGGAACTAAAAATCAAAAAAATAAAAATAAAAACACTTGGACTAAATTCATAATCCATGGCATCCACGATGAAAAATTGTCTACTTAATTTAGATAAAGGACAAATAAAATCAATATCAATTATAGTAGTTAGTTAAAATATGTGTTTTGTTTTATTTTGTGTTTTTATTATTTATTTATTTTATTTATTTGTTCCTTTGTTTTCTTTCTTTATTTATTTTTGAGAGAGAGAGTGTGTGCAAGGGGGTAGTGACAGAGGGACAAGGAGAGAGAATCCCAGGCAGACTCCCCACTCAGTGTGGAGCCCAGTGTGGGGCTTGATCTCCCCACCCCTGAGATCATGACCTGAGCAGAAATCAAGGGTCGGACACTTGACCGACTGAGCCACCCAAGCACCCTTATTCTGTGCTTTTAATAAAACACATTAGACATAATTATTAGAATTGAGGGTTATTTTGAAATTTCTATTCACATAAATTGTTGATCAGAAGTTTAAAAAAAAACACAAAATTTTAAACACAACTTTTAAAATACTGCATTAGCTCTATTTCTTTTATTTTAAAGGTGAACAAGTGTATCCTAATTATCAATCTATAAATCTAGATTCCATATTTCACATAATTTTAACAGTTTTATATTACACAAAATTAGGTGCACAACCAAAAACAACCCTGAGATATGATTGCTTGTGTGTGTGAACGTTACTGTTTATTTCAGAGTCAATGACTTGGACTTAGGCATACAGTGAAGTTTCAGCAGATAAGGAGGAAAAAAGTACAAATAACATGTGAACTTATGAGTAATTTTATAATTATTTACCGGAATTTTCATCAAAGATCTGGATACAAACCTTTCTTATGGGACGATCTTTTTTCGTTTCTAACAGTTACGACTCAGTTTAGTTTGTGACAAATATTATTCAGTTTATGGGGAAAATGTCTCTGGGAATTCATCATTTAAAGATAATTTGGTGTGGGACTTCCCTCGAGAAACTTCTCTTCCATTATCCCTACATAGTTGGCTTACTCTCTGGTAGAATGATAAAATAAGACAAAACAAAAATAAAGATAAGAAATTGGTTACTTTGAACACATGGTCATGGCAGGGATTTTCCCTTTTAGAAGAAGAGAAAGTATAAAAAAGGTAGTCTTCATCCAAATGGAATAATTCTCCCAATTCATTATACTCTCTCTACCCCTGCTACCACTGCTACCCCTGTGCAAGCCAAGCGCACACAGACCAGTTCTGTTCTTTGACATACCGAGTGAGGCAGAGCTAGGTCATTCCAAAGTGTTTTTTTGTTATCAATCGTTTTGATATTCCTGTGCAATCATTTAATAGTTAAATGGTTAAAAAAACAAACATTGCTATTTCTGGCTGATTATATTATTTTAAGAACGTACACAGACTTAAAATGACATGTTATTGTTTTGGTGGAGCACCATGTAATTTTCTTCATTTTAGTGTGAAGCAATTAGGAGTGCTTTCTCTATGGCAGCTCTAGTATTCTTTTTGGTATAAAATCATTCATAGTATTCTAGTTCCATAAAATCATTCATAGTACTCTATTTCCAGAGTAAATTAATGTAAAGAAAAAGGTTTTTGCCATTCATCATCATCCGTTAATCATCCATTCTGTGGTATGAGGTCATGATGCGTTTTTTTCAGGTACCTCAAAAATTAGACTAAACCTGCGACTCAAGTTCAGAAGAGAAGAAAGATTTCCTCAGTCCTAAAGACTCAGACTATTCAAAGATAATCAATCTAACACCCATTTCTTTGCACTGGTGGTGTCCTCATAGTCACTCAATAGACTAATTAACGTTTTCCAACAGGGAAACATTTAAGCAAGAGGTGCCATACAGAATTCAAGTTGCTGGAAAATGAAACCTGCAAGTATTCAACTTCCAATCACCTTTCTCATTTCTCATTCATTCTTAGTCTTCTTTTCATTGACTATTAACTATAGTAGCTAACTATTAAAAATGCCTTTTGACCTTCAAACATAAAATTACAGGATTATTCGCTCTCTTACCGAATAGACTCTCTATAGCTTATAGTATAGTCAATGAAACGGCAAGACTTCGGTAAACATGAAACTTTCACTAATTAAAAACATTCTATTGAAGGGAAGACAAGAGGCGCCTTCACTTTACCCAAAGGAGCTCGTAATAGTTCTCTTGCTGAAATAAGGGAAGCTAAAAATGTACTGGGTAAGTTGTAGCAAACTGCAGAAAGACGGGCATCCATAAATGGCATCAAGCTGTTTTGCTGTGCGTGGTTGGCAACTAAACACGCTACGTCTAACCGTTGCACACTCAGAAGAGACATGCTACGTTTCACGGACGCGACTTGACCCAGACTCAGGTACTGAAAACCCTGACCCCAAAATGACTGTGCCATTGAGTTAAGACAGTAATAAATATTGTGGAGAAGTTGAGTAAATCTGCCCACGGGTGGATATTTATTGTCCGTATAGAAATGACAACCATACGTCTTTCTGATAACATCAGCGATTGTGTATTTATAATGGAATTTCTGTCACCCTCACCCCGCTAGGATGTCAGTTGGATGTTTCCTAGGTAAGGTGTCAACCGCATCACCCGCCTCTAATCATTTAGACTTCCTGGATAAAACATCTTGATTTCTACTTGTCCTGTTGTTGATTTATAGTTCAGATCTTAATTCTAAGTGATCTTAAGGTAATTTTTAGGACATGTGACAATACTAAGATTTGTTTAACATTGCCTGTAATAGGACTGATACAAGATTTTAAAACCCAAGGCAATCTATTAAGCATATTGATTTCATGATTTCTGGATTAGAAGATTGAGTTCCCATAATAAAACTTGTTCAAGGCTTTAAAATTAATGGCTGAGCATAAGAAAAATGAAAGCCACTCACTGATCTTTCTTATGAAATTTCTTTGGAACAAAGCAGGCTTTAAATGTGAAGATATTTCATTAATTAGAAGTTTGGCTATCTGTACTTGCCCTAAACCTTTTAAAATAACATGTAGACAGATAAAATATCTCAAGAAGTTCTCCAACTAAGTACACTAAAAACTGGCCCCACTTCAAAAGGGTGGTTTAGAAAACTAAAATAGTTTAATGTACAAACTGGACAGGTTACTATGTTGTACTATGTACACCTGAAACTAATGTAACATTCTGTGTGTCAGCCATACTCAAATTGAATAAATTAATAAATAAATTAATTAATTTAACAGCAACGACGACGACGACAACAACAGAAAACGATAACAACAACAGAAAACCAAAACTCACAGGGGGAGACAGGAAAGTATAATATTTGCCTGAATTGTTGACACAATTCATGGTTCAATACAAGATAAGTGACTGATAGGTTAGAAACAAGATTAACCCCTCCCCTCTTAATACAAAAAAAAATAAATAAAATAAAATAAAGTCTCCTCTAATCTCATTCCAGTTGTCACAAAAACTACCAAAGCTTTGAAGTTCATTTCTGAAACTGCTTCTTTGAGTTTATGGATGCCCTCTTCTGCATGCAGGAGCAGTAAGAATTTCATGCTCGACTAACCATGGTTGTTGCTTTTGTTTTCTTCTTTGCTTTCTCCAATATTTACTACACATGCAAAGGGTACCTTAAGATGTTTGATATACCCCCTGGTGCTAGACATGTGTTAATCCAAGAAGACGAGGCTTCTCCTCATATTCTTGGTAAGTGTTTCTGCTGGCTTTGCTGTAGCATGCACTTAGAGAAATGTCAAAGATACCACATATAGAGAGAGAGATATATGTAGATGTATGTGTATCATATGTATACGTGTCTGCATACATAGATATACAAGATTCAGAATTACATAAAAATGCATTACTGGTTTTCAATGGTCATTTCTCCCCACTCTTCTTTCTTTAAAACAAAAAAAAATATTCAAAAATAGAGCTTTAATTTTTGGTGAAACCTGGGTTGGTTCATTATTTATATGAAGAAAAGTTTATTTGACAAGTTTGTTATGCATTTTTGCTCCGTATGGGGGATGAGAAAAAGGAATATGTTAATAAAATGCACTGAATTAAGGAAGAATATCAGAAAAATTTGCCATAGTTATGTTGGCAAATTAGTTCTGATATTTTGGTTGATGCCATACCGTATGCCTCTCCTTACTCTATTGCATTTTAAGTTCTTGTACGGAAAAGCCAGTATTTGTGATTCTTCCAGGTTCTGCCTGGCACAGGCAGATCCATTTGCATGGCTGGTTACAATTCTTTCCCTCCTTTACAAGAGGATCGTGTAAAAATGTCATTCTAAAGGGTTTTTTTCCCGAAGTGTATGTGCAAATGTAAACATGACTTCCACATATCCCCTGACCTATTAAAGCATGAAGAATCTCGCTGAAATGAAAGCATCATCTGTCAACCCGGTGAAAATTTGTCTCGTTAACTTTTATTTTAAATGTGTGACTTTAAAAAAGTTCTGTTTTATGGTATTTCATAGAACTGTTTTTTAATATCTAATTTGAATTCACTACCAGATCCCTTAATGATCTAGCAGTCAGACATAGTTCTTTTCCCAGTAATTCATATTCCTTATTTTTTTATCCTAGAACTGAAATTATTATCCTTGGAAACATTAGATAGTTTCAGAAAGCTCAAGAGGAATAAATGTATTTAACTAAAATTGCTCATGTTATCTACACATTTTCAGGAATGGTAATAACATGAAATTTTATTTTCTAACTTATTATATGCTGGTAAATACCCTGAGACTTCAAAATCCTATTGGTCATGTTTTGTCCATTAGAGAAAACATCTTTAAATAATATATAGTAGATAATAATGCATTAAGAACTCTATCACAGTAAACCACTTTTCTAGCCATATAAGTAGGGAAGTGGCCTTGGAATTTCACAAACATAAGAACTCATTGTTTGTTGGTCTAAAAATTCATTCAATATTTTGGATACCTATCAATACTTTTACTAACTAGAAAGAGATAGCACCCTAAGGTAAAGAAGCTGTTATGTTATGTGCTGTCCTAGCATAAATGATTTGTGTTAATGATTATAGAGGTATCCGTAATTTTCAAAATATTCCCAGCTTTCTGAGGAAATATACAGGAGTAAATAAGAAACTGGTAACCTCTTTAACAGTCCTTTCACATGGGAATATTTGTTAATTTTTATCTCCTTTATTTAACCACCTTGCTATTGTTTTTGACTAGTTAAGAGTACTGCTTGAGGATTTTGAATGCTGAATGAAGGGAATGGGAGTCCTATCAGAACTAACTCATTTTCATTGCCTTGATGCTAATAAACAGTCTTTCATGTATAGAAAGGGGTAGACTTGCTGTGGGTCATCAAACCTGTAATATGATAAAATAAAATGTATGCCGGTTATTTTTCTCCTTTTAGCTATTAAGAACCAGGCTACAGGCCACTATATTTTAAATGGCAAAGGGGAGGAAGCCAAGTCGCGAACCTTCATCGATCTCGGCGTGGAATGGGACTATAACATTGAAGATGACATTGAAACTCTTCACACAGATGGACCTTTACACGATCCAGTTATCGTTCTGGTATGTGGTATTACAGGCTTACTATGTGGTTGGTTTAGTTTATAATTTTATAATTAATTTATCTGAACACACTTTTACCTTGAACATTGAATCTTTAGTTCCTTGTTTTTTAAAATTCCATTTACCTGCTGCTGTCTACTCTTTGTACAACTTTGTCATATATTTTATTATATGTACATTATAAACCTAATAACATAGTACTATGATTCCTGACTGCTAGCAATCCATTATCTGTTAGAGACAAAAGATGAGATAGATTTTTATATTTACCCACATATTTACCATTTCTGATGCTCTTCCTTCTTCCCTGTAAATTGGACTTTCCATGTAGTATCATTTGCCTTCGACATAAAGAACATCCCTTCGCATTTCTTGCGGTGTGGGTGTGCGTCTTAGCAAAGAATTCCCTCAACTTCCAATGATCATATTATTTCACCCTCGTTCTTAGGAGATATCTTCAGCAGATATAAACATTTTGGTAACTAGTGCTCTGTGTGTGTGTACGCGCGCGCGCGCGTGTGTGCGTGTGTGTGTGTGTGTGTGTGTGTGTGTGTGTGTTAGCGCTTTAAAGTTGTTTTCACGCTGTTATGGGGGAGTTGAAGGAATGGGAGGGCGGATTTGTGAAGTAGATGTGACCACAAGATGGCAATAGCGGGTACCGGCTTTATCGCCACCTTAACGCCTTTGGAGGTCTGGCCACCTGTCGGGAGAGCAGCAGAGGGGAACTCCTGGTTGAGAAGGGATGGGAGAGGGGGCGTTTTTGGTTAGGTGACGTCCAGCAGCTGCACAGTGGGGAGTCTCTGCTCTGGGCGCCCCGAAGAGCGGCGGTAGCTTGGGATCCTTACAGCCATGGTGTCCTTTATCGTTAGCAGAGGCCAAGTGCAGTTCCATCCGGGTATGCTAAGCAAACAGGTTCTAACTGGCTAAAAATACACCTGTCCGGGCTACCTGGAAAGGAACTGGTAGCTCAAAAAATTTGAGTTTGGTGCTGGCAGGCTTCTGCACTAAAGGCTCTCAGCCTGCTGTGAAGAAACGAAAGAGGGGCCAGCATGCCGGAGCTATCCGCCGACCCTGTTTGACTGTTTGCTAACTCGGTCCCTCCCCAGCCCATCATTTATGATGAGTCCGCCTCGTTCGTATGGCTGCTCTGCCTGTGACGTATCCGTTTTCCCTGGCTGCTCTGGAAAGATTTTCTCTTTAGCTTTTTGTTTCATTTCATTGTTTGTTTAGCGGTTTGACTGTGATACGCTTAGTTTGTGGTGTTCTTTGTATCTGGCTTGGGGTTCACCAAGCATCCTGGCGATCTGAGTCGATGGGTTTTTTTGTTTTTGTTTTTTGTTTTTTTGTTTTTACCAAATTTGGGTTGGGTTTTTCATTGTGTCCCAAGTGCATTTTCCCCCACCTCTCACTCCCAGGGCTCATTTACATGTATCTAACCCAGTTGAAATTGTGTCATATGCCTCCTGCGCTTTGTCCATCCTCTGTAATCACTTTTTCTCTGTTTGGATAATTGCTATTGAGCTATGTTCAAGTTCACTGACTGTGTCTTATGTGGCCTCCAATCTGCTGCTGAGCCCATCCGGTAAATTTTTCACGTCAGATGGTGTTCTTTTCCTTCCTAGAATTTCCGTTTCACCATTATGTCTAATGTTTCCTTTAAGTCCTGTGTACTGGACATTATAGTTGGTAAGGTGTAGGGCATTTGCTTTATGTCGCCTTCTTTACAGGCCGTGGGGCTTTTTACAGGCTCTCATTTCCTCCTGATCTTTGAAGCTTCATTTATCCTTTGTTGGGGCTGATCTGTTTCAGTTTTGTCCTTATGCTTATGGTATGGCCTTTTTGACGCTTTAGCTGAATATCTGAAGTGTTAGCGAGGCCGTTTCATCTGGCCAGATAAGAACCCCTGTGTCCCTAGTGCCACCTGACCTTGGGTGTCTCTGTCCTGCTCCCAGTCCCATAGTAGCCACTCGCTGCAGACAGTGTGGTGACTCAGCCTGGGCATGCACAGAACAGCCTTCCGTCTAGGACGTGCGCTGCTTCTGGGCCACCCTTCTGTGCAGCCCCTTCCTCTTTAGGGCCCTGCCTACAAGTTCCACAGCCCACTCGCCATCTCCTCAGCTCCCTGACACCGCCGTCTTGGTAGGGACTCCTGCTCCCTGGGCCGGGCCCAGAACCTGACCCTGTCAGGAAGCCAGAACCTGGCCGTTTTCTCTTCTCACAGGGACCACTGTCCTTCACTGTATTACTCACGGGGCTCATGGATGAAAGCCAAAGACATCTACCTGGTTTGAAAAATATTGTTGGATTCTGTATGCAACTTATCAGATTTTCTGTAAAAAAATGTTATACTAATTTAAAACCAAATGTCCCCACTCAATTCCAAGGATATTTTTTCTTTCTTTGAAAATTGTTTGGTGAAGTGTCTGTCCAAATCTTTTGCCCATTGTTAAAGTGAGTTGTTTTATCTTTTTTGTTGTATTTTAAGAGTTCTTTATATATACTTGACATGTCCTTTATGACATATATGACTTGTCAAATATTTTCTTCTAGTCTATCATTTCTTTTTGTTCTCTTAATAGTGGCTTTCACAGAGCAAAATATTTTAACTCTCCTGAAGTCTAATTTATTAATTTTTTTTCTTTAATGGATCAATATTCTGGTATGTGAGATATATATATATATATATATATATATATCACATTTATCTATTTATTCATATGTTTATATATGTATATTTCTGCCCAATCCAATGTTAAAGCATTTTCTTATTTTTTTTACTAGAAGTTTTATATTTTACATTTTGAGTTGATTTGTATATAAATTTTGTATGACAGGTTGGCTTCTTGCTTTTGCATGTGGATGTCCATATTACCTATTGCTGTGTAACAAATAACCCTGAACCTGTTAGGTGAACACAAAGCAGCATTTATTATCTCGTAGCCTCTGTGGGTCAGGCCACAGAGCTGCGGAAACGGCTAGCTGTGGCTCAGGGCATCTCATGAGGTCGCCGTTGGCTCCAGTGGGGACATCTGCTCCCCTGCTCAGTCACAGGGCTGTTGGAAGGCCTCAGCAGACTGCTTCTCGGCTTTCCCATGTGGTGGCTGGTGGCCTACATTCCTCACCATGTGAGCCTCTCCTTAGACTCCATAAGTGTCCTTATCACATGACGGCTGACTTCCCCTGGAATGAGTGATCCAGGTGACAGAGTGTAGCCAAGACAGAGACCATCTTTTTTAACCAGATATTGGGAGGAACATCCCATCCATGCTGCCGTTGTCTGTTTGCTGGAAGCAGGTCACTGAGTCCAACCCACCCTGAAGGGGAGAGGAATTGAGCCCTAGTCCTTGAGAGGAAAAGTATTAAAGAGTTTGCAGACACATTTTTAAAGCCACCACAGTGACTTGTTCTGGTACCATTTGTTGAAAAAAAAGGTCTTTTTTCCATGAAGTGATCTTCTCACCTCTGTCAAAAATTAGTTGTTCATGTTTCTGTGGTTTTATTTCTGACTGTCATTCTGTTTCATAGGTTATATAACTTTATAGCAAAAATATGCAATAATCAAAATTGTATTAAGTTTGGATGGTTGGAGATGAGAGGGTCCGTTTCACTCGTCTGATTACACTGCAGTCTTCTCCAGTGGCGCAGGCGTCTGGCCTCAGAGCCCTGCCGTCACCACCATGCTAGCCTCCGTCCAGGCTTCGTCCACTCATAGCAGGGTGACCGCAGGGAACAAGTGAGCTAGAGTCAGAAGGAGAGATTTGTAGCTAGGACGGTGGGGCTCTGGACAAACAGTGCTGTATCACAATGGCCTTTCTTTTCCTCTCTAAAGGGCTGGAACCCCAGGCTGGGAGCCTGGGACCATGGCGGTACCTGTCTGGGGCTGGAAACACTAGGCCTCTGGCTAGAGTCTAGGGCTCAGTGCTTGATTTGTAACGTTGCTTTAGAAACAAACACTAGGGGAAAAACAGACACAAGAACCCAGATAACCAAATCCTTCATACTAGTGGGTTTAATATTACTCGATTTCTCAAACAAAAGCCATTTCTAAAAGTTTAGTTTAAGATACTAGTAAATTGCACATGCTTTTTTCCCTTCATGTAACTGATATAATCCTAGAAGAGCTAGTGCAGGAAGGTTGATAAAAGCTTACTTAAAAAAAAAAAAGAGTACATTGCCATAAACAATATTACAGGACAAAAACAAACAAACAAACCACCTGAGACTGTATTTGCAATGCTTATTACTATAAAAGAAGGACTAATGTCCTTATGTCATATTGCAGTCATTTAGAAAAAAGATCTGCTTACCAATAAAAAAGAAGGCAGGATGAGACCAGAAAACTAGTGACTAATAAACCAGAAAAATTAAACTTTACTGTTTATCAAATAAATAACAATTAAAATAACAATCTTTTGCCCATTCAGTTAACAAAGATAAAAACTACATAGTATGTAGTGCCGAATGGGACACTTTCATATACTCTCATTATGAAAGTAATGATTGTTCTGACTATTCTGAAGGGCCATTCATCAGTCTGTTCTAAAATTATAAAAAGCACTTGTACCATATATAAGGAAAATCAGAAATCACAAAGCGGGGGACAAATTCTGATCAATACTAGTATTTATTAACAAGTGAATGGCTAAATAATGCGTACTACCTTTAGGATTAAGCACTGTACTGACACTGAAAAGTATGTTTTCAAAAAATATTTACTGTCTTGGGAAATAGTACATGATTCATTAAGTGAAATAAGCAAAGCCAGAACACACACACACACACACACCACAAGATGCAAATATCTTAAGGATATACTGCAAATATCTTAAGGATATACTGCAAAACAACAGAAGTGATTTTGGTTTTCTCTGATTTAGTAAAATCATGGTACTTTTTTATTTTCTTTGTGTTTTTCCATAATGTGTACAATTTCTGGAGGGAATATTATTGTCTTCGTAATCATGACAAAACAGTTACTTTAAAGAATAATTTTCAAATGCAGAAAGGAGATACATAACAAGGAAATTCACAGTGAATTTCATTGGAAATTTATTATTTTTATTATGTAAACTCTTATACCTCTATTTTTTATATTTTTATGGTCAAAGTTTTATATGTTTACATCTTTTTTTGTTGTTGTTAAACAGGGCATCCTTATAATTTAGTTGATAGAAACATATATTTAGAAACTGCTTGAAAGTTTTCCATTTTTTTTTTTAAAGATTTTATTTATTTGACGGATGGAGATCACGAGTAGGCAGAGAGGCAGGCAGAGAGAGAGAAGAAGAGAAGCAGGCTTCCCGCTGAGCAGAGAGCCCGATGCGGGGCTCGATCCCAGGACATTGGGATCATGACCCGAACTGAAGACAGAGGCTTTAACCCACTGAGCCACCCGGGCGCCCCGAAAGTTTTCCAGTTTTAATAAGATGACTGTTCTGAAATAGTTGATTTTTATTGAAAATGTAAAGCCCCTTCAGGTGACTTACCTGTTTATTTCATGTATCCATTAGATCATACCTCAAGACAACGATACCCACTCCAGCCTGACGTATAAGTACATCATTCATGAAGATTCCGCACCTACAATCAGCAGCAACAATGTCATCCAGGAAGAATTAGATACTTTTGAATGGGCTTTGAAGAGTTGGTCTCAGTGTTCCAAACCCTGTGGTGGAGGTAACAATTGACCACATTGAGTACGTTCAATGTAATTCATAGGAGGCCGTTTCCAGTGCTTCTGCCTTAAAGATTGCCTCTCATTGAGGCCACAATCTGAGAAATACCAAACATAACAACCAAAACATAAGTACAAAGCATTTTTACTGAAATCTCTGAATCTACAAAGGATAGGCGTCCATTCCTCACAACGGTAAACCTTCTCAAAATCCTCTTGCCGTTTTTCCTTGCTGTTTTCTTTTTGTCTCATGTTCATCTGCTGGTCCCTTTAATGACTTGAGTTTTCCCAGATTCTCCCAAATGCAGTGTCCTGTGGTTCTGGCCTTTCTTCTTCACTTTTGCTGTGCATTTCTTTTCTATCGGTGATGGTAATAAAAGAGCTATTAATTGTACCAGGTAGCAGGTACTGTTTTAAATGTTCTCTATATTAGTGAATGAGCCCTCAAAATAGCTCTGTGAGGTCAGCACTGTGATGATCTCTGTTGTACTGATTGGAAAACTGAAGAACAGGGAAGAGAAGTCATTTCCCCAGACCCTAAGATACAGACCCAGCGGTCTGGCTTCTGGCTACACGTCTTACTCCCTTGTGCTGCCTCTCTGCCCTTGCTCAAGTAAATCCATTAAGCCATTCCTGGAGTTTTTCAGTTTCTCATTTCATCCATTCCCCCACTTCTGAACAATGAATGCTCCAGAACTGAGCTGCCCTACAGGGAGTTTTCCCCAACATGCAGGACAAGGCAAAAGGCTGAGTCATGATGCTGAGTAACGGAGAACAAAAAAATGATTCAGAGCAGGGAATGCATGTGTCAATGATTTATTTTATAATTCTAAATTCAAGGGTGTATTTTTATTTATTTATTTTTTTAAAGAATTTATTTATTTATTTGAGAGAGAGAGAGAGAGAGGCCAAGCAGCAGACAGAGGTAGAGGGAGAAGAAGACACTCTGCTGAGCAGGGAGCCTGATGCAGGGCTCGGTCCCAGGACCCCGGGGTCATGACCTGAGCCAAAGGCAGACACTTAACCTACTGAGCCACCCAGGCGTCCCAAGGATGTATTTTTAAAGGGGCTTTTTTTTTTTTTTTTTGAGGTGGAGGGGACATATACTGTTTTTAATTATTTAAAATGACAATCCATTACAAAATATGTGTTTAATTGGAATCTTCCCTTTTGCTGCTCCCTCAGCATCTGCTTGGTTACAAGATTTGTCAGACACACCTTTTTAATATCTACCACATCTATTCCTTCCTCACCAGGTTTCCCTCATGACTTTGGAAGGGAAGATTATTCCAGAAGTCTTTTAACTAGTCAACTAATTTGATTTTCTTCTCTTCCTTTATTTCCAGGGTAATCTTGAATGAATGAATGAATGAATGGCCGAATGAGTGGAGTTAGAGCATTTGCGTGATTTAAATGCTGTAGCCTCCTACTGTGTGTCCCAGAGACAGCATCATTTGTGTAGCTTTCTTGCCAAAAGTGGATAACTGAGTCTAATCATTAGGAAGCAAATAAACCTAAACTGTGGGGTGTTTTACAAAACAAATGGCCTGTACATCTCAAAAATACTCAAGATAAAAAAGAGGCCCAGAAACTATTCCTGCTTAATGCTGTGACAGCTAAATTCACCACATAATCGTTGATTGGAAACACATTGCCAAGAAGAATCCAAGAGGGGCAACTGGCAAATTTTGAATTTGCTCTGTATATTAGATAATAGTACTATATCTGCGTTAAATATTCTGGTTGTAAGAACTATGTGAGAGATGTGCTTGTGATGGGCAGGATGCTGAAGTATTTGCCAGGGAAGGATCAGGATGCCAGCAACTTAGTCTCAAAGGGTTTGGCAAAATTTTATGTATATTATGTATATTGCATATGATAATTAAGTTATCACATATGTAAAATTATACGTATGCCCTCAAATATGGTGACACATAACACAAGGTTAATCTAGATGCAAGTATGACAAATGTGCATTGTGCTTTCCTTACAACATTTTTGTAGGTTTAAAACATTTAAAAAAATTTTTTAATTAATTAATTATTTACAGATGTCAGGGTTGGTGAGTGGGGAGACGGTCAAAAACTCCCTGTGACCGCCAAGATAAGTCCAAACACTAGTCTGGCACGCAAGGCTTTTAGGATTAGATTCTTTCCTATCCCCTACCCCTCTCACAGAGGAAACCTCAGCCGTTCCAACAGACCTTCTGTTTTTAACATGTCATTTCCTTCGCCTGGAGTCTTCTCTGCTCCGTTCCCTTTACCCGGCACTGTTTGAACTTCAAGATTCCAGTCAAGAAGTGCAGGTCTTCTAAGCAGGCCCTGCCCCTCTGCCGGCTGAGACCCTCCCCTCTGTGTTCCTTTGGCGCCCTCTACAGGAAATGATGTGCCTAACTCTCTAAAAGCCTGTGTCACTGGGTATTGTCCCAGTGGTTGTCCAATCTGTCCCTCACATTAGACTGTGTGTGTTTGGGGGTCTAGCTCATTGGCACATGCACGACTGCTATTTAATCATTATACTCTTTATTAAATGTAGGTCCTGAAAAGTTCAGGATTTTGTTTATTTAATTGACTTCTGGACCTTCAGTGGCTCCAGCAGTGCCTCGCCTCCTCTATGTCCTCAGGCAATGTTTGTTGAATGAATGACTGAACGACCAAGTATATAACAGAATGAATAAGTAAATCCAAAGAAATGTGTTTCCTTTCCTAGGTTTCCAGTACACTAAATACGGATGCCGTAGAAAAAGTGATAATAAGATGGTTCACCGCAGCTTCTGCGAGGTCAACAGGAAGCCAAAACCTATTAGAAGAATGTGCAATATTCAAGAGTGTACGCATCCACTGTAAGCGGCCATTTTAACTATCCTATCCTGAGCACAACGTGACAGGGATTTAAATATCTTTAGTTCTTTTCAGTTTTAATTTCATTTTTAGTCAAAGCTAATAAACGTATCTAGTTTAAATAGTCCAAGGCATTTCACAGGAATTATTTGAAGCTGCAGTTCCCCTGCCCTTTACCGTATTCCTGCTCCTCAAGTACAACCATGTTCCAGCTATAAGGCTGCTTTGGATATCTAGTAACTCCTTGTTTCCAATTCTCTATGTAAATGTGTTTGCATCTCCTTGATTTTTGGGGGTGAGGGGGTTTGGATATTATGTATATTGATTTTCCAAGGTGGAAAGTGAACGGTTTAGCATTTTTTTATAATCCTTCCCCAGATACACACAGCCCAGACTTCTCTCATCCCCAGTATTTCCAGTATTGTTATAACCTAATTTTACTGATATTAATCTTCAGAGTTTATATTATCTTAACAACTTCCATCTGTCTTAATAGGTGACTCACTTAGCTGGTCTTTCCTTGTGAAACTTTTTTTCTTCTAGAATTAATTAAGGTTTTGATTTTTATGCTTTGTTTTCTCCTACTTTTCACTAATTCACCCCCATACTGTCTTCTGTGAGTATCGGTCTCCTGTAAATACTAAACACTCAAATATCCTGTCACTTGCAACTTCTGAGAGATATCTCTCAGACAGTTCTGTGTGTTCCAGCTCTGTCCCGGACTTCTGTTCGTCCTGGAATGTCTTTTTACCTTTTCCAAGATATTCCTACGGCCTCTCTTTTGCATCGGTTCTCCTGTTTCCTGCATTTTTTGTCTTCTTTTCATGTATTCATTTGTTCTGGTAGATCATGTCTTCCAGTAGCTTCATGAAAAATGTATACAGAAAGTGAAAATTTGTGGCTAAAAAATTCTCGTACACCTAAGAAATGTAGCTTAGAGGTTAAAGTGTAAGGGTATATAGGAAGTCTTTCTTCTCTCACTCTTCATGATTGGGACACCCATAAAATTCCAAACCATAATGTGTTTTCCTTCAGGATTTGAAACCATTGTTCCACTGTTTTTTAGATTCACATATTGCTGTTGAAAAGTTATCTGACGTTGTTTCTCAATGCTTTCTGTTTTTGTCATTCAAAGTTTGTAGGATCTTCTTTTTGTTCCCAATGTCCTGAAATGTCACAGCAATGGCATTGTCTTGATGCTCTGCTTTTCTCATCCATCATGCTATGTACTCAAAGACTTTTTAAAACACAAACCAGTATCTTTCATCTCTGGGACATTTTCCTGTGTTTTTTCTTTGAAATATTTCCCCTATTTTTTCAGTATTTTTTTCTAAGATATTTGCAGCTAGGATTCTTAAGGATATCTAATTTTCTTTTCTTTTCTCATCTATTGTTTATTGCTCTATTTCCTAAATTTTTCTTTTTTACTACTGTGTTAGTATCCAAGAGCACTTTAATATCCAAGCACTCTGTTTTGTTCCTCACATGTTCCTTGTTAAGGCATTTGATGCTCATTTCACTGGTGTTAATATATTCTTTTTTCTCTTTTATATTAAAGACTATTTTCTTTTTCATGCATTATTGCTTTTGAGTTCTTTTCCTCTGTTTCTTTCCCCCCCCTCCATGATTTGTGTTAGAGGCTTTTCTGTCTCCACTGAAGAATACAGTGTTAAAAGGCTTCTTGGAAGCTTGAAAGCTTGCCTTATAGTCAAGACTTGCTTGCTGGTGGCTTCACTGTTGGACAAGCTGGCTGGGCTATTTCGTTGGAAGACCCTCAATGTATATTTAGGTCTTTTTTAATGAAATGATCCGATTTCAAAGAGTAGAATCAATCACCTGCCTAGAGAGCATTAGCCTATTTAACAGCTGTTCTGGAAGTTGCATATATGTGTGTATGACCAAGACTCATCTTCACCATTCCGTACGTGGAATCTTACCGAACCCCCTGTTTTCACTCTGGTCTCCTTCTCTGTTGTCTCTTGACTATGTCTGTTGTCCACAAGCGAAAACTCTGGTTCATCTTCTACAGAGGATAAATGTTAGACCCTCTGTTCCATTAGAGGAGGGGCAATCAGCCAGCGGAGGTAAGGAGCAGGAGGTGGAACTATTTCCACACAGACTTTTCCTCAGTCCCCTCTTTTCAGCCCTACCTTCACCCAGTTTCCCAGTGCACATTTTTACCTGTGGCCCCAATCCAGCACATTCCTGGAGCTCTGCTGCCAAGTTAGTCTGCTTACCAACTTCTATAGCTGATTTAAAATTCATCCCTCTTGGGTCTGCTGAGCTGGTAGCCACATGTCCCACTGCTTTCTAGGTTCCAGAATTATCTTTGGGGGCATTCTATCCAATTTTTTTTTTTTTTAACCTTTGTGGATTTATGCCATTTATTCCCGTTTGTTGTCATTCTAGGAATTTTAGGAGGGAATAAAGTTAACCAGGAGTATCTGTGACTATGAAATGTATACTTCTCATTTAATATCTGTCTTCAAATGAGAGTTACTGTTGAGGGCTTTACCATTGCTTAGTTGCCACAATACCTTCTACTGCCGGTCTGACGAGCGAAAGCCAACCTAAACTGGAGATACCAAAGACTACCAAGGTTTTAGCATTGTTAGGTCTCAGTGCCCCATATATATGAAAAGAAAAAAAAAAATGCAGAGGGAAAGTAACTCTAGAAAGGATAAAGAGTATGCCTCAATTACATTCTGACAGATTGTGGAACCAGACAGAATCACTGGGGACAGCCTTTTGGGACCACATGTCACGGAGACCTCTCCCTAATAACACAGCCACAGCTGACGTGGAAAGTGCTGGGGCCATTGACATTAACACAGAATTGGGGAATGGTCCATGGGAAATCTTTTTAAAATATTTTTTTAGAAATCTGTCCGGTGCATTCAAGCCCCGGGTGCACACTACCTTTTACATTTTTGTTGGGCCTCATAATGGCCAATATGAAGAACTGAATTTTCCAGGTAGGACAGATTACTCAGGCAGCCTTTTCAGGGGCCAATTGTAGAAATGGAACGGTCATCTCAGAATCTTAAAACCTGAAGAAACTCGGGATTTCATGGAAAGGCAGCAGCACCCAAAGCAGTTTGTGTCACAAGTACGTGATGCATGGCCTTTCTTAGTTTCCTTTCACATGTTTAACACCATGAGGCAGGGTGGCTGAGGGCGAGTTGGTGTATTTCTGGAAACGGCCATCCTGCCCGAACCTAACCTGGCAAACTTAAGATAAGTTTCAGGAAACCTCTGTCAGTGGATCATCCTTTCGATAAAGAAGTTTCCAGGTTGGGAGGCGGGGCAGAAAAATACCCACGTGTTAAACATAGAAGTGCCGGGCTTGTTGGTATTAGAAAATGCTCAGACTTTGGACGTAGTGGATACATCCCTCTTTCTGAAACTGCTTCCTGAGCGGAGTCTGTTCCTCCTCCCCTGCGCCCCCACCCTCCTTCCCTGCACCCTCCCAGCTTCCCCCCACCCCCCACCACTGCCCCTCACTCAGGGAGCAGGGAAGGCCTGGGGTGCAGAGCCAGAGGGAGCTAGCAGTGGCAGCGGCAGCGTCTAACCATGTCCCCCTCTCCCCCACGCTGCAGCTGGGTGGCGGAGGAGTGGGAGCACTGCACCAAGACCTGCGGGAGCTCCGGCTACCAGCTCCGCACCGTGCGCTGCCTGCAGCCGCTCCACGACGGCACCAACCGCTCCGTGCACAGCAAGTACTGCCCCGCCGAGCGGCCCGACAACCGGCGGCCCTGTAACCGCGTGCCCTGCCCCTCCCACTGGAAAGCAGGGCCCTGGAACGAGGTGGGCGTGCGACTCCTGCGTGCGAGCGTGTGTGTGCGTGTGCGGAAGCGTGCACTGTGTATTCGAGTTGGGCACATGTATCCGGGAGGCGTTGTGTGAGTCCAGACGCGACCACACAGATGCGACCACAGACTTTGTGATCCCTGAGCTCCTGGAGGTGCCAGGAAACAGGATTTTTTTTTTAAAGATTTTATTTATTTATTTGACAGACAGAGATCACAAGTAGGCAGAGAGGCAGGCAGAGAGAGAGAGGAGGAAGCAGGCTCCCTGCTGAGCAGAGAGCCCGATGTGGGGCTCGATCCCAGGACCCTGGGACCATGACCCGAGCCGAAGGCAGAGGCTTTAACCCACCGAGACACCCAGGCGCCCCAGGAAACAGGATTTTAAAACAGGGCTCGCATTTAGGATGACTCGGTAGGGGCCACCACGTGTGGGTGTTTTGTGACATCTAAAAGGGACTGGTTTTCTATTTCGTATCTTGGTTGACGTCACACCATTCCCGTGGGATGAATTCCAAACACCTGACTGACTGTGGGGCCCTGCCCCGTTTGGCGCATGGGTGACACTTCTTCTCCCTCTCCTCCTCCTCTTATTTCTCCAAGTATAATTGACATAAAGTTCTATCAGTTTCAGGTGTACCACGAAATGATTCGATATTTGTCTGTATTGCAAATACTCACCACAATAAGCCCTCGCTCTCTCTTCTTGCCCTGTTGCTCTGTGTTCCAACTCTGTCCCAGTTTGAGAAACTCCTGCTGTTCCAAGAAGACCGAGCTCACAGGCGTCTCCCACCTTTCAGCTGAAGGCCCTTCCTCCTCCTCCTGACTCACCACCTCCGCAGTCGCTAGGGCTCCTCTCCAGTGTCCAAAATACCACCTTCCGGGGCTGCCTTGCCCCCAGTCCTCCCCCAACCTTCCAGAGTGGCCCACAGCCAGCAGGCCACTCACGATGGACACTGTAACTCTTGTCTTGGAGACCGTGCCGGCCACGGGCCCACACGCTTCTCGAAGACTCTGCGCTGCTTCTGCACCACACAGCCAGGCCCTGTCCTGTCCTTGTTCATTTGCTGACTCAGTGTCGTGTGGCCTGAACTAATCCCACACTTTGGTATTCCTGAAGATTCAAAAGGAGGGATCATGAGATCACGGGAGAAAAGCTTAGAGGAGGAAAGGGCCTCAGCAAGCAGACAGAGAATGAAGGCGGAAGTGGAGAGCAGGCCCGGAAGGAAGGAACAGGAGAGCGAGGGTCACCTGCACCGGCCCCAAAGCTAACTCAAGTCTCCTTCTCAGAGTCCTGGAATGCAGGTCCCTCCTCTCTTCCTCCTGCCTGGACCAATAGCTTAGATGATCCTGGACTTAATCTGAAAGTGGTTAACCCCTTCATTAACGGACTTAGTTCATGAGAATAAAATCACAGTAGCTCCAAAGAGGTTGACTAAACCAAGCTAGCCTGCCAGTAAGTTCTACCGTCGGTAAGGAAGGTGAAGGAATGGGAAGGCCAGTAACGGGATCTCTCCCTGGAAAGAGACACCACCACCCTTCTGAGGGACTTTGCAGGTGTTAACATGACATTAATGGCTTCTTTCCTGTCACGTGTTCCCTGCCTGCCCCAAACTACTGCTCTATGGACATTGTCTCCTTTGCTTTCGTTTAGTCCTGACAACAGCCCTGAGGCAAGTGCTACCAGCCCAGCTCTCGGAGAAGCAGACCTATGCCCAGGCGGGTCCGTCATGCCGTCAGGCTATGAACCTGTGATTATTTGTCTCCAAAACAAAATAGAGAAGGAACTCCAGAGCTGTGTAGGCGTGTGTGTGTGTGTGTGTGTGTGTGTGTGTGCGCACGTATGTGTCCACAGGGAGGAAGGTGGTGGTGCAACGAACCTCTCTAATCGTAGCCTTGGTTTCCCTAGTGCTCCGTGACCTGTGGGGAAGGGACGGAGGTGAGGCAGGTCCTGTGCAGGGCGGGAGACCACTGCGCAGGGGAGAAGCCCGAGGCGGTCAGGGCCTGTCAGCTGCCTCCCTGTAACGGTACGTATGACCCCGATCCGTCTCACTGCTCTGGCCATGGTTTTCACACCTCAAAAGGCAGCATTTCAGGACCAGCTCTGGAAAGTGTTTGCTTATCCAAAAACAACCGGAGGAGCACACCCCTGAGACACACGCCTAATCGTCTTCTCCCAGATCCGCGTTCGAGGCTGTGCCCCACGCCCGAGGCCTCGGAACCCCCGGGCCTCCCTGGGTCCCGTCGGGCGCTGATGCAGGGCTGAGGGCGCGTCGTGCATGCGAAGCTGCTGTCGATTTGTTCTTCTGTCAGAAGCTACTTAGGTTCTGTCTGTGTCTTTATAACTTCAGACCACGGTAAAAGGCATAATATCGCAGAAGGTTTTGAAATATTTTGCTGTAATTATCCAGTTCACACGTGGGGGATCAATGCCATGCGCGGAGCCATTTGCGTTCTCTCTCCATCCCTCTAGGAGCCCTTGGGCAGGGGGATTCCAGAACAGACGCCTTGCACGCGTGCACGCTCGCCTCGCCTCCCCCCTTGCCGCGGCGCCGGCGCGGGCGTGTCTGAGCCCATGTATCCGTTTGCTGTCGGAGCATGGAACAGGTCCGGCGTGGCGGCCCTCCCTGTCACTGTCTCCCTTCCTTCTGTGCTCTCCCTGTCTCCAGCCATCTCTGTCGTCCGCCTCATTCTGTGTTTGCACTTGCTGTGCTCCGTCTCCGTCCCCTGTGCTGGTGCGGCCTGGCTTCCTGGCTCGGACGCTGTCGTCCGCGGTCCGCCCCGCGCTCGCTTTCTCTGGTCTCTCTCACGTGCGGGTCTACCTCCTTCCCGCTCTCCCTCTCTCTCTCTCTCCCCCACGCTCTCCCTCTCTCCCTATTCCCCTATCCTCATCCCCATCTCTTTCTTTTTTTCTGCCCTCTTTTCTTCTCTTCTTCTCTCTCTCCTTATCTCTTCCTTCCTCCTTTTTCCTTATTTCCCTGTCTTTCCTGACATCTGACCTCCCCAGCCTCTTTCTACCTCCTGTGTCCATCTGTCTCTCTCCTTTACCCCCGCCTTTTTCCTTCTCAGGGTCCTCCTGCCCTTTCTCCCTGTCCTTGTCCCTCTGCCTTTCTCTCCCACTCTGAGTCTGTATCTACCCCTTCATCGGCCTCACTCCTGTCTCTCTCCTCTTGGTCCCTTGTCTTCCTCACCTTCTTTCATTCTCTCAACGCCCATGTCTGTGCTCTCTGCCTGTGTCTGGCTCTCTTTCTTCTTGTCCCCTGCCATTGCACCAGCTGCTGTCTGTTCTCTCCCTCTCTCTACGCTTCCTCTGTCTCTCTCTCTTCCCCACCTCACAGCACCTTCTCCTTCTGGTGTTTCCTTACACACCCTACTTCTGCCATCACAGACTTCCTCTTAAATGCCATTTTCCTGAGTCTGTACCTGACGACAGCTGGATGCTGCTGTCACAGTAGTGAGGCTTGGAACTTAAGTTGACTTTTCATTGGCCTGAGGTGCTGTTTTATCAAATGTCTTATATATATATTTTTTAAGATTTTATTTATTTATTTGACAGAGAGAGATCACAAGCAGGCAGAGAGGCAGGCAGAGAGAGAGAGGAGGAAGCAGGCTCCCTGCTGAGCAGAGAGCCCGATGCGGGGCTCCATCCCAGGACCCTGAGATCATGACCTGAGCCGAAGGCAATGGCTTAACCCACTGAGCCACCCAGGCACCCCAAATGTCTTATATTTTTATAAAAATTTTTTATTAACATATAATGTATTATTAGCCCCAGGGGTACAGGTCTGTGAATCGCCAGGTTTACACACTTCACAGCACTCACCATAGCACATACCCTCCCCAATGTCCATAACCCAACCACCGTCTCCCTACCCTCTCACCCCCCAGCAACCCTCAGTTTGTTTTGTGAGATTAAGGGTCTCTTATGGTTTGTCTCCCTCCTGATCCCATCTTGTCTCATTTTTTCCTTCCCTACCCTCCACAACCCCCTGCCCTGCCTCTCAAAAATGTCTTTTTTCTTTTTTAATTAAATTTCAAGTCAAGTCTTAAACCTTATAAACCATTTCATTACAAATTTTCATTTGAAATGTGTGGTAGCAAGATCAAGTATGGCCATGAGAGGGAGACAAAGGACTTAGATATTTAATCATTTTTCTCTGGAAAATACATTTGAAAGTTTAAAACACAAGACAAAGCCAACGGAACAAACTTTCCCCAGTGAGAAGCTGTTAAGTTTACTGTTGCGATAACATTTTACTCATTTGTACTACTGTCAAGAGGCTAAAAATTTTTTGAGTAGACTTGACTGTTCTTAATAGTTGGTAAAGCATGTGCTTCTGCAAATATGCCCGATTGTCAGCAAGAATTGCTTGATTCTCTTCCTTTAGCTAAAAGAAATTCTTTTTAATTGTAAAAAGGTACAGATGAGATGGCATAATTACGTTAGGGATTCCACCATCTTTTAGCTACTGTGTTGCTCTGAAATCCAGGCCCGACAGCCAATTCCGTGAGGTCTAAAAGGCCATAGGTTTCTATCACACATTTCAATTAGTAATAATTCCCATTGGTCTCAAACTGCAATTAAAATCAAACGACTTTTTGAGACTATACGTAATACCCTTTTCCTGAACCTCTTAACAATGATGTGGGCATAGAACAAGAAGGCCCAAAATCTTCCTTAATTTTAGTGATTGATTTTGTCATGTGAATCCTTTCCCTAAGCCCCATTTTGATTGTACTATTTCCTTGTTGCTGTTAAGCTCTTCCCATCTATCCTGAGACAAATTGCCATAAAGTGAATGTATCCCTATGGTCTTATCTGTTTTTTTTTTTCTCGGAATATCTCATCCTTTTCCTCCTCTATACAGAAGCATATTCTGTCCGGCCCTAACTAGACCCATGTTGTGAACTAGTTCTTGCAGTGCCGAGTTGCTCACACAGAGGGGGGACTCATGCAGGAGCTCCTTCTCTAACACAGAGAGACGAGGTCATGCTTTGAGCTGGGCCACAGAAAGGGGGTTAGGGGTCAGACAGAAAAGAGAGTACAGGGTCAAATAAAGTCCTCTCATCACAGGGCCTAGAGCCTTAAACATACAGGAAGAAGAAATTAATATCCTTATTTTAAGATACAGGCATAGAAAAAGTAATTCAGAAATAATAAGGGTATTTGAGGAGAAACCCATTAATGTGACATGCAGACATTCACAACATAATTAGATGATTACCTTAGCTAATATGCCATATTCAGATGTGTCATTCTATCTAGTAGATCTGTAAATGCCAGACGAACACAGGTCATTCCAAAATTTGGGAAGGGGACATGCTATTACTCTAATGGATAGTTTTATCATTAATTTTAGAATTGGTAATCAGTAACAGATGTAGGTGGTAATTTTAGCTCTCTCTTGGTCTTGCCAGCTGACTGTCCTTTTTTTTCAAACTTTAGAAAGAAAGATTCTTTAATTTCCTTGGCAATTTATATACAGGTTCCTTACCTAGCCGTGAAGCATGACCCAATAATACTTTGTAATTTTAAATGATTCTAGTACGTAAGTGCCACAGTTTCCAATTCTTTGTGTTTACAGATCCGGCATAGGATTAGTATCTCTTTGTGGCACCGTGGTCGTGGACTCTGCATGAGATGTGCCCTAAAATGGCTGAAAACAAATATAAATTCATGTGTCCATGAGCTCAACATTTGGAGTTTTTGAAATCAAATTCTTATAACCTGTACTTTAAAAAATTTAAAGATGATAAAAAGAGTGTGCTCACACGTGTATCAGCTGTTTTATGAGTGTCACTTGAGTACTTTTTAAAGTGTTATCAAGTCAGTCAAATTGAATTTAAAAACTATGAATGATTCAAAAGAAAGTTGGCTCACTTTACCCAAATTTATGCTTTCAAATAATAAATAGTCTGAGAATATTCTGTAGTAAAAATGAAACTGTTGCATTGACTGTGGATGTTACTTTGGTTTTTCTTTCGGTAATACGTTTTTAAGATTTAATTTGTTCCAGCAGGTCCTTAGAATTTATTTTGCTTTTTATTTATTTATTTATTTATTATTATTTTTAACGATTTATATATTTATTTTGGAGAGAGAGAGAGCAAGGGAGAGGGACAGAGGGAGAGAGAGAGAATCTCAAGCAGACTTCCCGCTGAGCGTGGAGCCTGATGCTGGGCTTGATCTCAACATCCTGAGATCATGACCTGAGCCGAAATCAAGAGTCAGGCGCTTAACCAACTGAGCCACCCAGGTGCCCCAGGATTTATTTTGATTTTAACTTAATGTAGACACTAATCTATTAGAAAGCCGGAAATACTATAAAGTTAAAAAAAAAAAGAGAGAGAGAGAGATGTCCCTTTATATCCTAAAAAATATTTGTGGCAAAATGAATCCTATATTCTCATTCTAAAATCATATGTAGGTTCCTACTAGGAAGAGAAAAGTACCTTCAGTGTGCAGACTTGATGGAGATATTAAAATGGTGTTCAATTCAAGTGCTTTGCAGAGAAAAAGACTGCATATTTCAGTGAATTTATCTAAATGTTCATATTTGTTTATTGAGATATAGTTGACATACAACATATTAGTTTCAGGTGTACCATATAATGATTTGATATTTTTACATGTTGTAAAATGATCACAACATTAAGTCTAGTTAATGTCTATCACTATGTATAATTATAAAATTATTTTTTCTTGCCATCAGAAAGCTTAAGATCTATTCTCTTAGCAGTGTTTATGCAATTCAGCATTATAAACTGATAAACTGTAGTCACCACGTTTACATTACATGCCCATGACACTTATAACTGGAAATTTCTGCCTTTTGACCCCCTTCACCCATTTCACCCCCTCCCTAACCCCTGCCACTGGCAACCACCAATCTGTTCGCTGTATCAAGGAGCTTTTGTCCCTAGATTCCACATACAAGGGAGACCGTGTGCTTTGTCCATCTCCGTCTGACTGACTTCATTTAACATAAAATGGTCAAGGTCCATCCATGTTGTACATGGCAAGATTTCATTCTTTTTTATATCTGAATAACATTCTGTTATATACATATACCACAGTTTCTTTATCCATTCATCCATCCGTTGGCGAACAGTTAAGTTTTTTCCGTATCTTGGCTATTACAAACGAGGCTGCGGTCAACATGAGGGTGTGTGTATCTTTCCGAAAGAGTGTTTTCATTTTCTTCCGATACCTGCTTTTGGGACTTACCAGATCATATGGTGCTTATATTTTTAATTTTTGTAGGAGTGTCTGTGCTGTTGTCCACAGTGGCTGTGCCAGTTCCCACTCTCACCACTGACATTCACATTTTTTTAAAGATTTTTATTTACTTATTTGACAGACAGAGATCATAAGTAGGCAGAGAGAGAGAGGAGGAAGCAGGCTCTCTGGTGCGCAGAGAGCCCGAAGGGGGACTCGATCCCAGGACCCTGGGATCATGACCTGAGCCAAGGCAGTGGCTTTAACCCACTGAGCCACCAACGTGCCCCTGACATTCACATTTTTAATGCAAAGTCTCATTTGGACAACTCCCAATTCATGTCGGATTCTACTTAAAATTTTTTATATTCCGAAACAATTTCCGTTTCTCCCTTTTGTTCTGCTTAGATGTATGTTTCATCCTGTCTTCTTTTATCCTCTGCAGATGAGCCGTGTTTGGGAGACAAGTCCATCTTCTGTCAGATGGAGGTGCTGGCGCGATACTGCTCCATACCGGGTTATAACAAGCTGTGTTGTGAGTCGTGTAGCAAGCGCGGCAGCACCCTGCCACCACCGTACCTTCCAGAAGCTGCTGAAACTCACAGCGATGCTGTCTTTAACCCTAGCGACCTCCCTGGATCTCTGCTGATGCCTACGTCCTCGGTTCCCCACCGTTCGGAGCCCCCTGCCGAGAGGAAGCGATCTCTAAGCAGGCTGCCTGCGGCGGGGAGTCCCAGGCCACACAGTAAACCCGATGGTGCTAACTTGCCCCGGAGGAGAGCTCTGCTAGCGGGGGGTAAGACTCTGAGACTGGTGTCCCCGGCCACCAGGAGCGGCCCACTCAGCTCCCCCGCAGAAGCGGCCGCGGCCCGCCTCCCCGCGGTCAGCGAGTCCCTGGGTGCTGCTTCTCAGGCCAGAACCTCAAGGAAAGATGACAAAATCCTTGACAAGACACGTCCGGTCAGATCGGCCTCTTTGGAAAGATGAGAAAGCGAACCTCGAAGGCCAGAAAGCAGAGGAGAACCCGGACAGGCTCCCTCTCCCTGCGGTGCGTACGGCTGGTTTCGAGTCCAGTCCCCGTGTTGAAAGTAAATCTCCGTAACTGTCAGCTCGTCTTGTCCGTGAGCGAAGAGCGAAAAGTGCTGGTTCACTTTCTAGTTGCTTTCATCCACCTCTTGTTCTGCATTGACTCATTTGCCAGAAGTCATCGGAAGAAAGCACCAAAGATTATTAATAGAAGGAAAGTAAGTTGCTAAGGGTGTCGGTCCCTCTCTAAGGCAGCAGAGGGCCTGGAACCAATTATGTATATCAGTGGATTTTTTTTTTTTTAATTTTTAAGAAGTTACACTAAAAATAAAGAGGAGCCAACAGTTTACACTTTAACGAAATATTTTGGAAATGGAGCAAAACATTCTTAGACTTGTATTCCTATTTATCTATATTAGAAGTATTGTATGAGCGAATTTGCAGCTGTTGTGTAAATATTGTATATTGCAGAAATCAGTATTATTTTAAGAGATGTGTTCTCAAATGATTGTTTACTACATTACATTTCTGGATGTTCTGGGTGCCTGTTGTTGAGTATTGCCTTATTTGACGTGCTATGGGTGGATTTTCGAAGCCGAATATTATGAACAAGAAGTTAGAATTGTAGCTACTGACAGTACAAAGGGTTTTTGTTGTGTGGTTTTGTCCAATCAACAGTGTGATACCTGAGTAGCAGAAAAAGAGAAATCATATCATGCTGTGGATATGCAGATCCCAGCTTCCCTCTTACCTCCCACTTTTTAAATAACAAAGATGAGGAAAGATCTGTTAGGCTACTAGTGGTCACAGGGCCAGAGACTGGTGAGTCAGCCTGGGCAAGCCAAAATTAAAACCCTCTTATCAGGATCTCAGTAGACACCACTGAAGTGTCCTGTGTTCTTGGGCTGATTTTTCTTTTCCCTTTGTGGACATAGGTAAACGGTTATACTCAATGTACTGTAATAGTAACAAAAGAAGAATGTTTCAAGATAATTTGCTTGTGTGTTGGTAGCTGAGAAAACTAGAAACCGAACTAGAATTGACACCTGAGTGTAATAGGGCTTTGGGGCTTTGGAGGAAGATTCAAGAAAGTATTTGTCCGTGGTCGCAATATTTATTTTCTGCATGGTCCCTATTCAAATGTTCACAACCACAGTGCATCTGACTGCAATCATGTGCTAGTAATTTATGTCAGTGGTCACCTTGCTCACAGTGAAGCCAGAAATGCTCTCTCCAGGGAGTAGATGTAAAGTACTTGTATATAGAATTCAGAACTGAAGATATTTATTAAAAGTCGATTTTTTTTCTTGATAGTATTTTTATGTACTAAATATTTACGCTAATATCAATGACATATTTTGGTAAACTAGAGAGACATAATTAGAGATGCACATTTTGTGCCTGGAGGAGAAATTTAAGCAAACAACGACAACCAAATCAAAGAGCTAATATGAAACAAAATTTGACGTCATGCAAACTTTTTGCATTTTTAAAGTAGCTGATACAAAGTTAATGACTTCTTCCCTTTGGATGGAACCTTAAATAATATAGATCCAGATAGCTGTTTAATGAAAAAGGGAATTAGAAACATTTTTTTAAGTATATGAAAGAGGCAAATACTTAAAAGAAAAAAAAAGTGTTGTGAGCGCAATGTTCTTGAGGTCAGTTCCTGAACTGTGTTATGCAAACGAACTCGAACGATGTCAGCCTTTCCGAGCACAGTCTGTGCAAGGACGTTTGCCTTTTAGCCACAGTAAACTCAGCTTCACCTACTGACTCTCTACCACTAAAGAATCTGCTACTTTACGCAAGGCTTTTAAAGTTTAAAGGAATAAGCTGAATTCCAGACAGAAAAACAACCTCTGATCCTCAAGTAGAAGTCATTTTTTTTTTTTTCCCTGAAAGCTTCCCCAGAATGAAATTCTCTCTAGTTTGCTTGCATATGTACGCATCTGGTCCACAGGAGAATGCAGAGAAAGATGGTCGCACACATACACCTCCCATGAAGATGTACATATTTCTTCTACTTCTCATCTTCGAGCTTCCTTTTCTGCGAAGCTAAAAACTCCCTTTTTATCCGAGTGTACACTACTGATGCTGTTTGTTGTATTGGGAGCACGTAGCAATAAAATGTTAACAAAATATAGACCTGGCTCTATCTAGATTCTATCATTAGGTTCATTACTGAGTAATGGAAACTTTTCTTTCCTCCTACCAAGTTCAAATAGTGTCAAATTCATTGGCTCCTTGAACTTTCTCTGAAGAGGCTCAAATAAAGTGACAGTGTCTCCTAGCCTCACACCAAGGTGTATCATAACATTTTTCAATCATATAAGAGAGAGACTAGGAGCAGTGGCTTTGTGCTTAAATCCATCCCGCAGAGCTATGAAGATGCGGAGAGCAAAGGGCAATAATGCTGGGATGTACAAGGATGGGAAGGGGGACTTCTGTCTTCTGAATGTGCAGCCCCAGAGTGGTTTTTAAAGAGAAGCTGTCCAACAGCTTTAGAACGCTTATTCCCCGAGGACTTTGGGGACTACGACGTGACATCTGACTCAGCAGTGGGGGCTGAAGCAGGGCATCGAGGCGGGGGGGGGGGGGGGGGGGGGGGCGGGGGGAGGGCTTTGCTTATGTCACAGGGAGGCACTAGATTGCCATGGTCAGTTAAAAGGCAAAGGCAGGTTTGAACTGCACCTGTACCTCTATACCTGAATGACCCCGGGCAACCAGACTTAATGTCAGTTTCCTCATCTTTTAAAATGGGAGGCAGGACTGTCAAACATCAGTGCATAATTACTGTGAGAAACGAGAAAGTAGTTAGCGTGGGGCTGACTCCTGGTAGCTCTCAATAAGTACTAAGTATCATCATTGCCTTTATATTTTCCCCATCCTTCTCCTCATCTTCATCATGTGACCAAACCATAGCTTTCCTCTGGGGTGATTTCCTCTAGGTTTGTGATTCAAACCACAGATGGTTTGAATCATGGTCACTGAGTCCCGTTAATGGCAGTAAAGAACATAGTTTGAGGAATCTAAAAACCACTTTTAGGTTCTAAAATTAATAGGAGGGACAAACTCATTAAAAATTATCTCTGGTCAACGGTTTTGGAAAATTTTAGCTATGTCCACCCTCCCTTCACAAACAATAAGTAGTCAAACTAAAGAAAGACTACTAATTCTCTATTTCTGTGCAAATGGCCAGTAGTGAAATAATGCTCCAGATTATTAGCAAATAAAATGTTTTCCATATATTTGCAATATACTTTGCAAAAATATCAAGTTATTCCTTTAAACATAGCTTATCATAAGTTGCTTAAATATATGATATAAAAAAAAATCACTTGAAGAATGATGAAGCTTGGACAACCAAAAAGTATGTGTTACAATTGTTACAAAAGTACTGAAGATAATGGTAGTAAAAAGTAAAAGGTTAAAGCTACTTAAAATGCAATAAAATATAAAAACCACCCAACGGTGGGCAGGCTTTGTCAACACATCAATTAGTGTTAGAAAACATTCCTTTTGGGCTCCGATATGTGAGAAACTTAATTTGAGCTAGAGACATTATTCAAAAATTAATTAAAATACTGCCTACCAAGCAAAGGCTAATCTAAAATGAATTTGCCATCAAAAACACAAATTCTAAAATAAACCAAAGTGCTATCAGTTTCTGCAAAAATCATCAGAAAGTTCACCTAGGTGTTTGAATTGCTTCCTAAATTCCCCCATCCTGGTAAGGGGCAAGAGCCTAAAAAGTTGCCCATCTACTTCCCGTCAGCACTGAGCTCCCTTGTAGGAGTGCTGACGCCTTTGGTCCTCCGTCTTGGTCTCCCTCGCACGCAGGTGGCGCCACTTTAGGTAACTACCCTGCGACCTCACCCCTGTGAGCCTCGCTCCATAAAAGCTTGAGGTCAAGGTCCGGATAGGGGCGGAGGATAGCAGTGCTGTCTGATTGTCCGGAGGTCTGACCGCTGCGGACTGCCCGTCTGTAAGTTACCCTGGATAAAACTCTGAATGCTACGGGGGGTGGCTTCCTTCTCTTTCCGGTATCGTAGTGCCTTCTCAGTCTGGAAGATTCACTACTGACCCTTCTCCACCTTCTAACAATTGGTTACTCTGCTGGGTACCGAGAAAGAAACAAGCATGAGAGACAGAGCTGAGCAGCCGAAAGCCCTTTGCTTCTGGGGAAGCTCCCAAGCTGGCCAGCCACCGCCATATGGAGACACTTGGCCGGGTCTTCTGAGCAGTTTGGATAATTGCTTGTGCATGGGGATGCCCTAAAAACACCTGTGGGATTGCTGGCTACACCCCATCGGAAACTGGTAGGGAAGCAGAGGGGTTGAGAAGGGGTGGCAGCTCAGGTGTCCTGACTGTGGGGTTCTGGGAAGATGATATTGAAGACGGTATCTTACTGTCTGCTGGGGCATGTATGGGACCTGGGGTATCTGTTCTTGCCCTGTGCTCTGGTAGCCCAACACTACTGTAGTCTCTTGGTCGCTGACTTCAGGAAAGCCTAAAAAATTTATCAAAAGGGAAATAAACATGTTGAAACACAGGAAAAACAAAGGATATTGTTCATAGTAAAATGGTGGAAAGGGGGCCCATCTCGTAAACAGTTGTAGCAAGAGCTAGCATAACCTGGAACCCTGCGAGAGAATCTAGACAAACAACCCAATCTGGTCTTGGTAAACCTAAAGAAGACATTGCCTAAGGGAGAGCAGTTTACGCCCTTGAAGGAAGTCTCCAAAAGCCAGGGGTGTTTCAGAGTGCCCCTCCGACAAGGAGGAATTTCAGGGATGGATATGCCCAACCCCTAGAGACTGGGGGTTAGGCCAATGTCGCCCTTCAGTGCATGCAATGGGGAGGCAGTCAGAGGCCCCATGGTGACTTAACCATTTATTGGTCTAGCCCTAAATAACAGAGCATACAGCTCTAATAAACAGTGGAGCTGAATGCACACC